AAATAAGAAAAAAAGAAAGTAAGAAAAAAGGAGGGGTGGGGGGCAAGAGTATAAGAAAAAAGGGGTGCATAATAAGAAAAAGAGACGGATACTCTCTCTTTCTCTCACTCTCTTCATGTTCTTTTCATTTGCTTATTTCCCTTATCTTTTACCTATCTCTTCTTCACTTTACTTTTTTCTCTTTCTTTTTCTTTTTTTTATTTCTCTTCTCCCTCTCCACCCTCCAGTAACTTCCATCCTCTTCTACATTCTTCTCTCTCTCTCTCTCTCTCTCTCTCTTTCTGTTATTCTCATTTGCTGCTTATTTCTCTTTTCTTTTATCTATCTCTCTTTTCATTTTTATTATATCTTTTTTTATTTCCCTTTTATTTTTTATTTCTCTTCCTTCTCTCTACCCCCATTAACTTCCATCTTCCTCGTCATTCTCTCTCTTTCTCTCTCTCTCTCTCTCTCTTTTCTCTCTCTCTTTTTCATTTTCTCTTTCTACGTGGAAACGTGGGCGTGGATGTAGGCGAGGTAAGCCTTCAGGGCCGGCAAGGCATCGACCGATCCAGCTGGACGCATCGTAAATCGTGACGGTTTCGTGTTCGTGAAGGTACGCGTTATGGTATACCCCGACCCTGGCCGATCCAATTTTTCCACCAGAAGTATGGTACTGAAGGGGGATCCTTTAGAGAATCATGCTTTTACATGTACGTGCATACATACGTGCATAAATATCTGTATGTGTGTGTGTATGTGTGAATCTGGTACGGTAGAGATTTGACCGATATGAGGAAATTTCCATTAATCCGTTCCCTCCTAACTAACTTCCCCCAGTTCCTATGTACATCGAGATAAATCTGCATCATTCTCTCCCCCTCTTCTCGTTTCAACTGGTTGCTCGTTTTTCTTCTTCTTCTTCTTCTACTTCTTCTTCTTCCAACTACTCTCTAAGTACCTTTCTCAATGTCTCCCGAGAATCGTCATTCAACTAATTTCAAAAAAGAAAAAGCAAAAAAAAAAGTAAAGGAAAAATACAAACAAAAATACAATCGAAAAAGAAAACGGGGTAAGAGAAAAAGGGAATTAAAAAAAAAAAGAAAAAAGGGCAAAAGCAAACGGTTAGAAGAAAGTAGTACTCGTTGATCCGTAATACGCCATCTTGGATCACTTTGATCGAACGAAGTACAACAAGAACTCGAGAGAAAGAATGGAATTCAAAGAATCTAACGGGGAAAATCGATGTCAAATTGAAGAACTTTGTTCTTTTGCTTTTTTTTTTTTTTTTTTCTTTTTGTAACTTGACAGAGAGACTGAACGCGAGTTGTAATAACAGTAAGAGGAGGAGGAAAAGGAGGAGGAGGAGGAGGAGGAGGAGTAGGAGTAGGAAAACGAAAGAAGGAGGAAGGAAGAAAAAAGAAAAAAGAAAAAAAAGAACAAATAAACGAAAGAGGGAAAAATTAAAAAGAAAAAGCATGGGGCCCTTTTCTTCTTCCTCGCGAACTTATTAGCGAAAGTTCGCCGGAACAAAGTTTCCACAGCGGACAAAAACGGTCCTTGATTCCTGTTTCCCGTTTCTCCTCTTCGTCCCTCCAACTCATTCCTCCCACCACCCCCTCTCACTCTCTCTCTCTCTCTCTCTCTCTCTCTCTCTCTCTCTCTCTCTCTCTCTCTGACTATGCCTGCGGCTTTCGAAAGCCCGTCGTCGTGCGATCGATGAATGCTCGTGTCGTCACATGAGGACCCTCCTTTAATACCTCCCTCAACCCCTCTCCCTCTCATTCTCTCTTTCTCTCTCTTTCTCTCTCTCTTCCCTTCTCTCCCTCTCATTAAAGCCGTCCGCTCGTCGCGCGCTACGCGGAGAGTAGCATCCTAATGCTATTTACACAAGTGCTCTGCCGGAGCGAAAGGGCGTACTACGTACGAAACAGTTCGGCGCAATGTCGACGTACCAATACTACTGCACTAACACATTTATATACATTATGCTTCGAAACTATATGTGTATCTCTCTGTTAAAACGGATGGTTTGTATGTGTCCTATGTATATGTGTATGGGCATTGGTATAGGTATAGGTATGTGTATGTGTATGTGTGTATGCATGAACATAGGTATGTGCAAGTATGCGAGTCTCTGTTTGCAAAAGAAAAGGGGGATTTAAGGCTAAATTTTCACTTTTAACATTTCCTCGTTAATTCCGTACTATCGTAAACAATTATGTATGTATTTATTTTCTAATAATCGAATTGTTTTTTAACATATTGAAAAATATCTTTTTCGAACGCGCCTACGTGGTAAATATTATTTCATTTGAATTCTTTTAAATTTAGTTTACATAAATGTCTGTCTGTCTGTCTATCTGGCTGTGTGTGTATGTTAAGTATGTACGAGTATACAACTTTCTGTTTGCAAAAGAAAAGAGGAAATTTCTGAATAAAATTTTCATTTTTAACATTTTCCCGTTAATTACGTTCTATCGTTAACAATCGCGTACTTATTTTCTAATAAATGGATTGTTTCCTAGCATTATTAATATATGAACATATTTTTGAACGTATGCATACGTGGTAAATGTTTTTTACCACATGGAATCTTTAATATTTAGTTATGAAATAATTATATCACTCTTATATTGAACGTTAACGATAACGATTTGATGTAATTACGTAAGCGCGTGGATGCGTGTAAAATTAAAAAAAAAAAAAAAAACAGAAGAAGCGGGGGTAGGCGGAGGGTGGGGTAGGGGTGGGGTGGGGTGGGGTCTGGTGGGTAAAGAAAACAAGAAATTTTATTCGATAGTACAAATAATGATTAAGATAAAAATAACTCGTAACATTTTATATGGGCCATCCTGTATAGAGATAGACACGGCCGTCGCAACTTCGACTTTACGATCTAACCAGATTGCGCAGTAATCCGTTATTTAAGCGCATTCGCATCGTTCCGACTTCGGTTTATAATCCCGCATCACCGTTGACGAATCTTACGACTTTAAAAGGCTTTTTTATTTTTATTATTTTTCTATCTTCCTAAATTTCATTTTAATTTTATTATTTAACTTTTTCACAGCTTTGCGTGTATGTGTATGTGTGTGTGTGTGTTACAAGATTATAAAATAATTTTCAACGAGATGTAAAGAGAGAGAGAAAGAGAGAGAGAAAGAGAGAGAGAGAGAGAAAGAGAGAGAGAAAGAGAGAGAGAGAGAGAGAGAGAGAGAGAAAATTCCAAACGTCTCGTAACCAACGTCATTCAGATTATCCCCCAACGAGTCACAGGGATGGTTTTAAACGTCATTATCTAACTTACAAATACGACCCTACGAATCTGAAATATTTCTTAGCACATATGCTTGCGCAAGTAATACTATTATACTTACTAAACGCGAAGCGACTAACGTAGGACGAAAAACGAAACGCCGACCTAGTTTTTCTAGCGTGCCAATGGCTGTCGATCGGCAGTAAGACATACTACTCCTAATTAAGAATGGTCTTTATTGTCAATTAGCTATCGGGAATTAGCGTTGATGCGAAAGGGGCAATTTTAGATGGTCTTAAAAGATTGCCTCTTTGCTGTTGGTTGCTTTTAACGTTTCTCTTGTTGTTAATTGTAAGTAACATGGAGAAAGGAAATCGATATCAATGGATATTAGGTATAAAAAAGATAAAGTAGGGGAAATGGGTAGAGGGGGTTGGCTGGGAGGGGTGTAAGGTGGGGAGGGAAAAGCTTAAACGAACGAATCGAATTTATTTCCAGTTTGATAATAATGATGATGATGATGATGATGATGATGATGACGACGACGACGACGAAAATGATGATGATGATGATGATGATGATGATGATGATGATGATGATGATGATAATGATGATGATGATGATGATGATGATGATGATGATGATGATGATGATGATAATGGTTCAAGATGGCCGACATGATGGCCGCCGAGAAAAAGGAAGGCTGACTACTGACTGATTTGAATGATTTTCGCATACTCGATCACGCGAAGAACTCGAAGAAAAGGTGTTAGAGAAGCATAGTGATAGGACAAGAATGTTCCGATCGTCCGCTTAAATAATTTAACAGTGAACGTATATATACGTGGTACGTTGATCGACTCGTTATAAGCGGGTTGACAGGTCGGAGGTGGAACAGAGCCGGTAAAGCCGCCATTGCGTGGTGTATTAAAATGCAAATGATCACTGTCACCGACGGCGTTTGTCGCAGTATTTCCTCTCCTCCTTCTCTTCTCCGTTTTAAATCGCCAGATATTCCAGATAGAATCTACACCACCCCTCCGCCAACCTCCGCCACCCTCTCTATTTCTCTCTCTCTCTCTCTCTCCCTTTCATTTTCTTTTTTTTTTTTTCCTGAATCGTATACATAAACCATCGCGAAATCCCGAATGGTTTTCTTACGTATCATATCGAAGAAAAGGAAGATGACACGACGAAAAATAAAAGAACCAAACGAATTATTCCGATACTCGATAATCCGTCCTTTTTCTTTTTTCTATGCTTATGAATATATCATTTTAGATAATTTTTTTATATGTTAAAGAAATGTCGCATAATGTTAATAAAAAAAATTTTCTACCCACTAACACTTAATGACATAGTTATTTATTTTTAATCAAAAGGAGGGAGAAAGAAAGAAAGAATAAGAAAGACGAATGGAGATATTTGATAACGTTGCGAAATAAGTGAATGCTTCACGATCACGTATCAGGCGATAAAACAATTGTGTAGAAGACGGTGTGTATCAACTTTCTTAGATTCTAAGTTTTCAAAAGTTAGCAGAGTAGATGACCTAATATAAAAATAGTCTTCATATATTTCTACGCATTGTTGTCCTAAATTTACTTCGATAAAGCGAGTACGTGTTTTGAGTAATTGAGAACACGATGATAGGGGACACCATGTCGTTAATAATAATTTGAAAAAAAAAAAAAAGAAAAAGAAAAAATAAAAGTACAAGTATATAAATAAATGTGAAATACATATGGAGATAAAATATTACCTGCCAAAAAGGGGATGCCAAAGTTGCGAATCATCCGGCGAGTTGGCCGTCGAACTGACTTCCGGTTCCTGTTTGAGCAATCCAGTTCGTACCCTGAGTAATGGCGGATAGGGGCTGGAACGGCGATTGCTGGAGAGATCGATTGGCGCAGGCATCAGCGTGCCGATGGGCTTGCAACTAAGCTTGGGCCTAATTTGCGTACCGTTCCTTGTACCGTTGTTGTTAGCGTGACTCGATCCTTTGTTAACGCCGTTGCCGATCCTAGATTGGGATTGTCGTGACCTGGAGACAGGACCTTCTCCGTGATCGAGCACGTGTTGCAGATGACTCAACGATATCACTAATAAATCTGGATCTCTTAATAGATCCGGTCTCGTTAATGCTTCTGGTAATCTTAATTCTGGCCTCGAGGCTAAAAGTTTCGGAATTTCGGTAGCCGGGGCAGCGGCCAAAGCTGGAAGATAGTCACGTGGTACTAAAAGGGGATCAGGTATTAAATGGCCGGATGTTTCTATCAACTCTCTCAGTTGACTGGCCGGGTCTAAAAGTTTGTCCGTACTAGTAGACGTCGCGTAAGCCTCTTGATATTCCGCCGATTGCATTCTCGATCGTACCAGTATTTTGTGATAACCTGCTTGTTTTCTTAACCGATTAATCGTCCATTCGGCCGACATAGGTTTCTTCGCTGTATTACGATCGCTTATAAAGAGACTACTGTGAATATCACTATTCGACAATGGTCTTACCGAATTCTTCATCTCTTGATTTTGTACGTTAGAATGTTCTTGAAAAGTTCGTACAGTTCTACGCGTACCACCAACGTTGGATCTTTCGTTATCTTTGGAATAATCCGACCTAGGAATAGTAGTCGTATATTCGTTCGATCCAGGCTCGCATCGATTTGACGTACTTTCCCTAATTCTATCGTAATCTTTATTTTCAAGACAACTCGGGGACGATAAAATACCCTTTAAAGTCAAATCGTTTTTAGCATCCTCCGAACAGGACACCGAGCAAGGTGGGCTCGGTAATAGTCTTTCCAAGTACACCGAGGATGGCCTTTTGGAGGCAGGTGAACACGGAATACCACTGGGTTGAGGCGAAACCACGGTACCGCGAGATCTAAGTTCTTCGAGGACCTGTTCATCAAAGTGTTCCACGTCCTGGTACTTACACTTTGCTTGAGCTTCGCTACTACGACCGGAACCGTTCCATGCACTACCATCTGTACGATCCTTAACATTTTCTATCGGAGTATTGCGATCATCCTGATTGTTCCTAGAATTCGATCTATGAAAACAACCACTATCGACGCTATCAAAAACTAAAGAATCAACTTTTTGTCTTCTAAGATCTTCCAAAACTTGCGAATCGCAATCGTCTTCGTCGTCCTCGAGATCTCTCTCTTCCTCCTCCTCATGTGGGAAGTCAGTTTTTGGAAAATTAACAGTACTCTCTGGCGATTCCACTCTGTCCTTGGTTTTTGGTGAGGTCGAATTCGTCGTTGACTGTGAATTAGATACGTTGCGATAACGATAATTCGGTATGACGATCGACAAACCTGGAAGGTTTCGAGGTAAATTTAATGCTTGACCGCGGACATCGAACGATCTCGTTGTGGAGTAATCGATCATGGTACCTTTCAAAAGTCTTTCTACATTTTCTGCTTGACTATCGGGTGATCTGCTCGACGAGGAACTTTTCGATGAGGGTCTGGAGGAAGGTGGGTTTACATTTTTGGTTATTTCTTGAGGATGAGCTCTCGTTATGGAAACCGAAAGTCCTGGAGTATTTCTAAGAGCGTTCAATATCGTTGAACTACTAGTATAATCTATCTTCGTTGGTCCACCGGGTTCGCTGGGTGCTTCCTCGTTTATTTTTGATACGTTCATAGCTACATTGTTTTTCCATTTATGAAGGAGAGAATTCGATTCAGATTTGGAACGACTAATGCCACCGTCAGCTTCTGCCACTTTGCAAGATTTGATATCGATACTACTACTACTACTACTATTATTATTATTATTATTATTACTACTACTACTACTACTACTACTATAATTTTTGCAAGCAACAAAAGTTGATTCTTTTGATAAATGATTTTTTCTTTCGTCGAGATTCAAATTGCAACGATCGAGTATCTTCTCCTCGTGTACTTCTAATTGATCACAATCATTAATATTATCATTATTTTCAACATTTTCCTTTTGATAATTGGATATAAAGTCTGTCCTTGATTTATTTTTTATTACCGCACTAGGTAAGGCAGGATCCAAGTCTTTGCTCTTCTTATCGCTAATTTTCTTTTGATATACGTTCTCGCTCAAAACTAATTCGAAAGTTTTGTTAGAGTGCATCGGTAAGTCGGCACTGGGCGTGTCGGTTGCTAAAACGGGTGAGGCTGTGGCATCTATCATATTTAATATGTCTTGAATACCCTCTTTATTTTCTCGACATTTGTTCCTATCGTCATTAATCTCTTCTTCCTCTGGTTCCTCCTCCTCCTCCTCTTCGTCCTCCTCATCATCGCCCTCATCTTCTTCGTCTTCCTCAGCGTCGATATCTTCATTTCGTCTTTCGTTGTTCAATTCTTTGTCCACCCCTCTATTCTTCTCGTCATCGTTGCAAGTGTCACCGACTTCCTTGTGACCGTTCAGGATCTTATCACTCCTTCGTAAGAGAACATCTCGATGATCAGGTAGCTGAGATAAGTGAAGATGTTCTAGGACTACTCGCGGTTGAAAGTGTATGTCCTTTTGCAATCTTTCGAGATTGCTTTTACCGTTGGTATTCTTCAAATTCATAGATCCAAAGGACCTAGCCTTTTTTCTCCCGTCATCTTGGTTGTCGTCTTGCTCTTCGTCTTCGGTTTCATCCTCATCATCATCGTCGTCATCGTCGTCGTTTTCCTCCTCCTCTTCATCCTCCTCCTCTTCTTCCTCCCCCTCCGAACAGGAGACCCTTCTTCGATTCCTTTTCCATTCCGCGCTACTAACTCGTACTCCATTTTGAAGATTTTCCAACGGGTAATAATCCTGAGAATATTTCTTGTCTTTCAAAAAGTCATCGTATCTACGCTTCTTACCGATACTTTCTTTATCGATTATTAAATTATTATTTATGCTAGTTGCGGTCACGGTCTTCCCATTTTCCTTCTCTTCGTTCGAGTTTGAACTCGACGACGTGCACGCCGGTGTAATTTTCTTTTCTTGATTCGTACCGAGACCGGTGGAATACATGTTGGATGCCGTTCTCGGTATCGAACGCCATCCTTGCGCAGTCTTCGTCAATTTTATGCGATTTCTCTTGTCATAATCCTCACATCTAACCTCGACTATCCTCTGTTCTCTTTGAGACGCCCAGAGGAATATCGGATTGACCTTTGGTCGTTTTTCTTCCAATTCCTCGGAAGGCTCCTTCCGAGCGTGTTTTGGATGTTTCTGATGATGATGATGATGATGATGGTGATGATGATGATGGCGTCTTTGACGTCGGGGCACTGTGCCCCGTGCAGGGGCCCCGCTCATCACTCCATGCAAAGAACGGTAGTTACCCCGCCACTCCTCCAGCAAATTTTGACTAAAACTCACCAGTATTCTACCGTTACTAGACTTTTATACAAATTTCTTCCCTCTAATCTCTTTCTCTCTCTCTCTCTCTCTCTTTCTGTTACTCGCTTTCTTTCTTTCTTCCTTTTTTACTCTCGCTCTCTTTCCTTTATTTTTCTCCTATCTGCGAAATATAATAGCACTATATAATCCTATTCTTTAAACACTTTAACAGGCACTATTATTCGAACCTGTTTATACCTAACTTTTTGCACAACCTTACTTGTATATCTTCCTAAAAAGAACTTTGAATATTCTTATTATCAAAAAGTACAACGTATTTTATAAAGTCTCAGGTTCTTCTCATATCATAAACTACTTCTAAACAAACGTTCTTCTTGTTATCTACGAAGAATGCTGACATTTCCCTGAAAACTCGTTCACCAATGGGATCGCGCGCATCCGTCAGTTGGACATCGATTTAGCCTTCTTGTACCAATCGTTTGTTAGTCGTTCGGAGATTCGGTGAGCCGCATGTGCAAAAGTCAATGACCTATCATTGATCTTAGATCGAATCAGCTATTTCGTAGCGATGATATCGTGGCAAATGTTGCGATCGTTGTATTTGTGTTAAAACTAAAACAATCATCTCCATCGAATAAATTGATAGGAATCGTTTTGGTAACCTTGCCGTTAAACACCACCTCTTCTTTCTCTGTTATGCACGAGAAAGTTTCTTGTTCTTGTTGTTCTTCTTCTTCTTCTTCTTCCTCTTCTCCTCTACGAGGAGTTCGTTGACATCCGGCAGAGCGTTGGAGCGTTTCAGAGAACGATGTACTTCCTATGGTACTATAACTTTCCAGGTATACGCCAACGTTACTGATGATGTTGCTGTTGCTGCTGTTGCTGTTGCTGATGAGGTCGGCGACGTTCATCTGGCTGCTATCGAACCGTGACACGTAGACACAACACAAGAAGAAATAGAATTAATAGGAAGAAAATTAACGAGAACGCTAACGTCGATCTTCATCGAACTTATTATTATACGACGTCGATTTGCATCGAGCTTTCGGCGTCGACTCCGTTCAAAAAGAGATAGAGATAGATAGATAGTTAGATGGAGTGAGAGCGAGCGAGAGTGAGCGAAAGAGAGAGAGAGAGAAAGAGAGAAAGACAGAGCTTGCAACTGGCAGCACTGTGTTCGACCAATTCACCTCAGCCCAAGCTCTTCTTCTTCTTCTTCTTCTTCTTCTTCTTCTTCTTCTTTCTACGGTTAAGGTATTTACTAGCAATAAAGCTAGCTCGGTACCGAGTAGTACCAACTCCAAGAATCCCAAATAATTTTCTTTTAAAGATCCTACGTACAATAGTATTATTTTTATTTTCTTTTTTTTTTCTTTTTCAACTCTATCTCTCTCAGGTTTGTACCTGGAAGAAAATAATTTAGCAATGAGTCGGAGAATTAACGTTTTATTCGAATTCAGCAGCGTGCTTTTACCTACCTATTTTTTTTTTTTTGTTCGAAATAATCTAAGATTGTAACGCACTCACGTTGTCCTTGACCTTTAATGTTTAGATATTAAATTATTCGGAAGAAAATTTCACGCAGAAGGATTGTCATCTATGACATAACTAAGTGAGATACACAGATACCGGTTATACATTATTACGCACGGTCTCACTGCCTGGGAGCTACTGACTGTGCCTCCTTGTTGCCTTCCTCGTCACCACCACCACCCCCACTTTTACCACCACCACCCCCGCTCCGCAGAATCATGATACAGGGACGTCTCTATTCTCGGCACCTCCTTCCTTCCGTCATCTTTTCTTTTTTTTTTTCTTCTTCTACTACTTCTTCTTCTTCTTCTTCTTCTTCCTATTCTACTTTTTTACATTGCTATCGACTTTGTACTACTTGTTAGATAAGTATAAAACAATACCGACAATCTCTACGGACTGTAATTATATAAAAAAAAACACAATCTGATAAAAATGCATTTCAACGTATTTTATATTCTAATTTTATTCATTCAACCGACAAAAACGTCTCTTATTTGGATTGCTAATTTAATCTTTTCATTTCATTCTCAATAAATATCGACCGTTTTACATATAATAATATAAAAGAACAAAAAAAAAAGGGTATTAAAATCTTACTTTGATTCTATTCTATATTAACACGTAATATTCATTCGACGATATGGATTAACGATAAAAATTAATATACAACATGTATATTGTTTAGGATTTTAAATAGATATACATTTAATGTTTAGTTAAATTAGCTTTGTTAATTAATAAGTTAGTAAATTAGATATGTTTGATAAATGAATAAGGATAAAAAAAAATCTATAAAATAAAGATGTCATTAGGGTAACGTCGGAGTTCACGGAAAATTCCGTTTGCGAAATGTCTCAAGGCGACGAGGCGTCTTGGGTCGATACTGTCTTCTCTCTACCTACACCCCTCTCACCCTTTTACCCTGCAGGCAGCCCTCCGCTCACGGCCGGAGCACCGACCATGGAATGAGCCGAATAGGAGGAGTAGAAGAGATAGATAAAGAGTAAGAGAGAGACAGATGAAGAGAAAGAGATGAAGAGGAGGAGTGAAGAGCTTGGAAAGAAGGTTGGAAAGGGAAGGAAAGGGTGGAGGGAGCGGGCAGGGTGGCGGAGGAGAGGTAATGCAGGAGGAGCGTGAGAGAGAGAGAGGGGGAGCGCCGGAGGAAGAATTGTCGAGGGGAGGGAGGAGGGTTACAACCTGTATATATGTGCATATACATAGTATATGTGTACACCGTATATACAGTGAAGGTAAATTCAATTATAATGGCGTCAAACGGCGTAGCATGTTTGGACGATTTTGTTATTACCATTCCTATTCGAATTGTATGTACACAGAGTATTTCTCTTTTTTTTTTTTTTATTCTTTTTTTCTTTTTTTTTTTATCTGATCGGATTATATTTTTTTTTAATGATGGAAAAATGAAAAATAAAATAAGGTTGGAAAGAAAATAATATAGGTATTATACAGAAACGTCGTCTTCTACACTTTTGTATATGTGTATGTATGTATGTATGTGTTCGTATTAAAATTATGCTTATGCGAATAGTGTTCGTATAATGTGACTTTAACAAGTGGCACAAAAAAGAAGGATTGTCTAAAATATTATCGTTCGAGACTGACACTGTTTTTTTCTATTAAAAATTTATGTTTATTGCATCACGAGTCTAGGATGGTCACGTTAACTTGTTTTTACATTTAAATTGTTTCTTTTAAATAGGTAGAGCTAAAGAGAGAAAGGGTGAGAGGAAGGGAAAGAGGAAAGAACAAATACGTATATAGATGCGTTAAGTGACTAAATGAAGGAACTGAGCTTCGAATTCACCCTACGCTTCTCCTCCAGGAAGAAGAAAAGAAAACAGAGTGTTTTTATGGTAGGGAGGATTTTTACGATGGAAGACTAAAAAAAGGAAGATTTATTATAATTAATGAAATAATTGGAAAAGAAGAAGAAAGAAAATTGGCCGAATGTAAGATGTTAGATGCATCTTTAATAATGGCTACTATAACGTTGATACCGGTTTCAAATGAAACTTCGTACTTCCGGTTCTTTTCCATTTTTTGGTAACGAAAACAACATGTTCTCGTTGTCCTTGTCATTGCCGTTCTCCTCCTCAACGCGTTTCTTTTTCTTTTACTTCTTTTTCTTCTTTTTCTTCTTCTTCTGCTTCTTCTTCTACTGCTTCCTTCAGTTTTTTTTTTCTTATTTTTTTCATTCCTTCCTTATACGCATTCGCGGTGTTCGTGGGGCCGCGAGGTGAGCTGCACAAGGTCACGTGGACTTCGTCCACCATTGAACGAATGTACTTCACATAGAAGGGAGACGTAACTAAGCGAGACCAAAGAACGCACAATACTTGCGATTATTTTATTCTTAAGATAGCCGATATGATACGTTCCTGAGTATATTTAGAAATAATACTATATATTTTCTTTGAACAAACATCTCCTCGAAATCCATTACTGTTAAATCGATTTTTCCAAGGGACGCGCCTGTTTTGTATTTACCAGTCGAAATTCGGGTCGATTGATTTGTCGAACAAAATTATTAATTGTGGTAAACCTTTGTTTTTGTTTGTTGTTTTTTTTTCTTTTCAAATTGTTTGCGTTCCTTTTGAAAATCAATGCCTCAGATCATCGATGTTACTTAGGTAGGTAGTGATAAAGTCGGTTATATGGCTTCCATCAGGTAATCTGAGGGAGTCAATGTAAGGAATCACAAGAGTGTATCTGGATAGTGATATAAGATACACTAGGACAATTACGATACAGTTACCATACGGTTTTTATTCTCTTCTTATCAAAGACATTTGAATATATTTGCATTTATTGCCTAATTAAAATTCATTATTCTAATGTGTGTTGTATATAAATATTGATAGTTTTCTTTTTTTTTTTTGTAAAAGCAAGGATACAATGTATTTGAATAAACAATTTTTTATTTAACGATAATACTTTCAATTTTTTATACATACTTACAACTTAAATATTCCAATAATAACAACTTCGCGAATTAGAATTACAATATAATCTATTTTAGATAACACACAAGAGAGCTCTGTATTACCGATCGATAAAACTTTAAAGTTTGTCGCATTGTATCCTAGAGAGCGGACTGATTCATAAGAGACAATAGGAAATTTTAAAATACATAAACCTCACGATAATAAAAAATTTTATACATAAAACAAATTTAATTCTATACAAATAATTAATAATTAAATGTCTTGTGAGAAATTCTCCAAGTGCATGTATCGTCTATAATCGGACATACTTTGTAAATCATTCATCAAGAACTTTATCTAAGGGGTGGGGGTGGGGTTATTTATTTTATCCTAGTTATGTATAATTAATCCTAAAAAAGGGATGTTTAAAAAAACCTGTAACTTTTCTCAAAAAAGAATGTGGTAAATCTGATTTATCAAATCACTTTCTTGCTGTTTTTTCGAAATTAAATGAAACAGAAGACTTGCAAAATTCAATTTTGAATTTCTGATTTTTTTTCCACGGAAACCACCAGTAATTCTGGAACAATAGCTTACTTACGTCACCGAAACTACGTCATTGGATTTTTAAGTATTCGAGTCATCGTCTGGCTAACCTTTTCTCCTTCCAATTCTTTTTAACAATGTTCTATATATTCTAATTTATGTATTTAAGCAAATGCTAATCATTAGATTTTATAATAGTTTATGTCATTGATTTATAAAATTCAGACATTATTCTTAATCAATTTTAATATCCAAAGTTCACACTTCAAAAGTGAACATGCAAACGAGAAATAGATTTTTCCGACATCTTAAAAAAGCGTAGTCTTCATTAAAGTCTTTTGTTTTAACATGAAGTATTGTTCAATAATATCGGTTAAGAATTACGTCCAAATTTTGTGTTGGCGTAAATACTGTTTTCGACATTTTTAACATTGAAACGTTTTATCGTTATTACGTCAATGGCTAAATTTATTATACAGCGTTTAGTTCTTCTCGATGATTATTTAAGGAATAGGAGTCTTTAAATACTTTGTTTTCATCGAATTCGAAATTTAGAAGAGGATGTGTAATATAAGATCCAATTTGGATCTGATAACTTTTTGAATCAGTTTTATCATTAGAACGAGATAAAAAAATAAAAGGAAAGATGAAAACTATTCAGTGAGTCATAGGGGTATTCATACCCTGCTCCCACTGTAAATTTAAAATAATTGATATTTGCTTGTAATGCAAATCTTAGAAATTCTAACACATAGAAATATATTTTAGAATTATTCAACTTTCAAACTGATATCAATTTTATTGCAGAATAACATTTTATTGTTAAGGAAATATAATTTTACATTAAATTTATATTAAATTATAAAAAATTGATCTCACTAGAGAGTATTTGCATTTAGACATAAGATATGATGAAAATACAATGATTATTTTTCTAAATTGTACTTTAATAATAGTTGGTTTTTTTTCGAATTTTTAAAATACTTTTTAAACGATTAAGCATATATCGTGAGGCTATTTTTTTTTATCAGTTATATACAATTGCACATATATTAATAATAAAATGTTCATTTATAATAAAATTTCTATTAATTTCAAAGTTTTATAATCCTAAAATATGTTTCTGTATATAAGAGTTTAGAAATATTGTGTTACAAGAAAATATTAATCGTTTTTTAATTGAAAACGGGGTAATACGAATATTTCTGTAACCGTCAGTGTATTTGAAGAAAAGATCAACAATTTTACGTGACAAAATTACATAATTAATTTGATAATAAAATTTACGATGAAATGGACATTTTTATGAAGTAAAAATCTTATATCAATATTCAAATCATATGTTATTTTGAATAAAGAAAAGAAAAAAAAAAAGAGTATACGTAAAATTAAGAAAACACGGAAGAAATTTCGAACTGTTCGTACATATATATATATATCTATGTCGATTAACTCGAACGATCATAATAACAAACTTGCCTGCAATGATTCTCAAAATATACTATTGGACCATGATCTCGGACCAAACTCTTTTCCTAGAATTGAATAAATATTGAAGTTAACATCAAAATCTAAATGTTTCTCAAGAATTAATTTACTTGATATTACTGGTTACGTTGTAAACTAGACACAAGTAAACGATTTTTTGCTTTACCAAGAATACAATTTTACCCAATAAAAAAATATAATTATTATCAATAAACGTAAAGTATTCACAACAGTAGTCAAGGACTTTTCCTCCTACAGAGATTTCCTGTATTGATATCGTAACACCAATCTTTTATAGTCGGTAATGATGATGAAATATACGAAGAAAAAAAAAATGTAGACAAAAACAGACAATGCGAGAAAAAAAAACAAATTTAATTTTCAAATCAAGATAGACGTTTAAATGCATGACGTGGGTGGAAAGCGCGCGTGACAATTTATGAAAACAATTTTTTCATTTGACGTCTTATTAATAATTTTAATGTATAATATATATGTATCTACGTAATACTTAATACATACTTATAAATATATATAATAAAATTAGATGAGTCAACTGGGAGCATTGAATATTTTGATTATCTTCTATACGATACAATCAAAGTTTTATTCATTTGGTATTAAAAAATGTGAACAATTATCAAAAAAATTTGACATTAAACTCGAAGAAAAAAAATTGTAATTATAAAATTATCATAACAAAACAAAATCATCGAGAGAGATTGTTTTGATACAATAAAAGTTTTTGATAATTTCTCTTCTTAATAAAATAAAATTAATTTTCAAAAAGATCTGATATATTAAACTAACATAAGAGGGAAAAGAGTTGACATTATAATTATTCTAAAAATAAAATAAGGAAAAGATGATAAAATCAAATTGTTTATAAATTTGTCGTGTATAACAAATATGCATTTATGCTATCATTTATAATTTGATGAAAAAAATTTGTATAATTTTTCAAAATGTTGACAAAATTATTAAGAAGAAAATTTAGACTTTTGGAAAATCGACATTTTTGTATATAAATTACAATTTTAGAAAAAATAAAAAGAGAAAATAAATAAGGAAAATATTATTCAGTGATATGCATCTTATGCTTTGAAAAATACATCTTTGTGGTATCTACTCTTACACGTTGATCATTATTCACATCTTAAGGCATGTGACCAGTTTCTTACCAACCGTGGATCTGTAAACTACGTGTATCGTGTTGTTTAGCGCGCTATCGTCATGAACTAACAATTAATTGATTATCCAGCTATAATATATTACATATATTATTTAATAATTTATAAAAAGTTAAATATGTTGAGAGAAAATCTTAAATGATCATACAAAAAGTATCTACTTTTCAATTATTTCACAAAAACCATTCGTAAATCATTAGAGAACTAACAATAAATCTTTGCACATACGTGTTACATCCGTGTTTTCAAACGACATATTGGATCTATAGATTACATGGTTTCATTGATCTTTCTGGTGTTGCATAAACAAATTTGTATGTGAACGCATCTTCGCAAACATTAACAAATCTTTTTTTTTTTTTCTTAATGTTAGAATGTTTTTGATAATTGATGATTTATTTTATTTTGTTTATTCTTTTTTTTGATAATTTATTTTTAAAAATTCAATGTTAACACAAACGAAATAATTTATTTGCGAAATTCGAATATATGTATGTACATTTAGATAATATATCTGTGTTTTATTTTTATCTTATAGAAAATATTATTGACGCATACCTGATTTGTTTTGCAAATAACTAGCGATTATTTTAATTATTTTACAATTATTATTATTATTACATAGAGGACTGTTTGATGAGAATTATTCTTAAGGAAAAATATATATATTGTGCTCGTCCGGAAACCGCAAATGCTGATAATCCTAGAGACATATCAGTGACATTCAGAAACATATACGAACGATATCGAGAAATAAAACGAAAAGCAAAGACAAGATAAAACATCATTTATTTGGTCAATATTTTTTCAACATTTTTAAATAATATTTTGTTCGATAAATTGTCGGTAAATGTTAATATGTTTCGGTAATATTATTCGGGGTATAATAAATAAATACTAATCATTTGTACAAAATATTCACAATTATTGATATTAATTCAGTGTAATTATCATTTATATTGGATCATAATATATTATAATTAATATCGATAATTTATTTACAATACTGATCAAAAATATTGACAAATATTAATCGAATAAATAATAGCTTTAAAAAGTAAAATATCTTAAAATTTTTTTTCTACCATTATCGAAGTATCAACTTGACAAAAAACATGTGCAGCATTATGCGTAACGTATCTTCATTGCTGCCCTTTTTTATCCTAAGTCTCGTTTTAATATCGAGAGTGATTATTGTCGAGAGTACAGTGCCACTCATTCATTCCATTCCATTGGTATGTTAATTTAAATTATTACAAAATTGAAATTCAATAATAAATATAATACACGGAATATATAAAAAAAATAAGTACGCAGTATTCGAGTTTGTAGATCATTGAATGAGATTTTTATTACGAAATTGCTATCGATTTACATTTATATTGATAGAACGACATTACATTTCCTTATGAAATTTAAATTTATTTTGCAAAGTAATTTTTTCTTTCTGAGACATTTCAATAAGTAAATAAATACATTAATACATTTTAATTGTGTTGTTATTTCTTTCTTTAACAGAAAAATGATACGAATATACCAGAAGAATACAAGGATCTACCAATAGTAGCACAATGTTGTCTGGTGAATCAAATTCTATTTCGAGATGAAAATAAGGGTATGGAGATATGCGTTTCTTTGAACTCATTCGAGCAACCATTCTCCCCATATTTTCATAAATCTAATTCATCTGGTATATGGAGTTCAGGGGAAAAACAAGATAGTTTTGTTGCACTCGTTGGTTATCCTTGTCATTATGGCAGGTAATTTTTGAATTTACAATAAGTAAGATAATAATAATATATTTTTTTTATACAATAAATAACTTTGACAAATTTGCACGATCATTTCCTTCGGTTTGTACGATAATATCAATAATCAACAAATAATCCGATAAGTGTTGGTTATAAAATAAAAAATGAATATTTACGATAAGCGTAATAAATGTACTCGTTTATCTTAATTGTCATCTTATTCATGGATTAAAAAAAATATGTGAATAAAAAATAAATGAAATTTATTAGAAGACAAATATTCATCCTAAACGTCATCTTTCGTGTATCTTTCTTCCTTTCTTTCTTTGCTATTTCTAATAGAATATTATTTTTAAAATCATTTGTATGAAAAAGAGAGAATTTATTTAACAGCTTATCGATAATTGGTAGAACAAATTATCACAGAATATCATCAAAATTGATTTTAACCTTTAGCAAAACCTTATCGATGTGTACTTACACGTTCAATTGATGTATGAAATCCTATCGATGTATCAATATGTATCTAAATAATCTACCATCTATTAAAAACAAGTTTTTATATCAAAAATATATATATATATATTCACAATTGTTATCATAATTTATGATAGACCAGACGTTTTTCTTTCTGATTTTTTAAATCTCACTTTTAACCGATTATGAATTACGTTTATTCGTTTATTTATATAATTCTTGTTACAGTTTTAATTTAAATGAGAGAAACAAAACCTATTATCTTTTATTTAATGGCTCGATATATTATCCTTCGTATAAACCTTCAATGCTCATGCCTGGTAAAGATTATTGCATGGAATACGTTCCTGAATTAGGATTGCTAATTAGAGTATGCTTTTCAGAAGGTATAATATTATACATTAAATCATTTCTAAACAATTAAGAATTAACTTTACCTTCAAAATACTCAAATACACACTACCTTTTGCTTTATAATTTCAGATGTTAAAGTAATGAAAGCCAAGCCAGAAAATTTGTTTAGCATTATCGGACTTTTAACATCCATAATACTTCTAATCCTCACCATACTAATTTATTTAATAATACCAAAATTGAGAGACATCTATGGACGTGTAATTTGTCATTATTGTGGATGTCTTGCAATGGCGTTTATTATTCTAACGATACTGCAACTTGATGGTGCACGTTGGAATCGTTACACGTGTATGATTATAAGTGAGTTTAAAAATATAATCAATTTCAAATTAGACCAAGTTTCATTTTTAACAACGTTCGAAGCAATAATTAATTAAATACGAAACTCATTGATCTCTTTTTCCTATTCTGGAGTAACGTCATTTCCTATTACGTAGAAATACCACCTTATTAATAATTAATTAATAATTTATTGATTGTAAATCATTGATTTTTACAGGCTACGTCATCCAATTCTTTTTCCTTGCCACGTATAATTGGTTGAACGTGTTATGCATCGTTACAAACAATTTCATACGAAATTATGTTAATCATGCATTGATTCTCCCAAAAACAAACAAAGCATTCTTCTTTTATTATTCCTTGTGTGCATGGGGCTCTTCAAGTATCCTTGTCATTGCAGACATATGTCTTAATCTCAACCCGATGAAATTTAGTACAGAAAGTGAAAGCTGTTGGATTGATTGTAAGTTGACAGACATATTATTAAATCTTTAGTTACTAACGGACTCATATACGGATCGTCTATGCAAAGGCATCAACTATCGATCCATATTCGAGTCGTACCAAAACATGTAATAAAAATAGTATTAAATATTAGGTCTACTGGACAATTTTTTCACATTTCAGACATGAAAAAATGTAATTTTTATAATTAAAACGAACAAACTTTTCGATAATCCTAATATAATTTATATTAATGTGTTATTATCTTCAGGACTTTAACTATACGTGCAAATATTTGATTATATTTTATTATTAATTCATTTGCTATAACATTTTTCGTAAATATTATATTTAAAACTATTTTTTTTGGAGGGGGGAGGGGGATTTTCAAACGTCAATATTATTTTCTTATATTTTATTTATTTTTATTTACCATTTTAATATTTTCTAACAATAGAAATTTTTAATCCTGAAGAGATTATTAACGTATTAATACGCGATAAATAAATAATTTGTATGTTTAATTGTAATAAAATTTCAGCGGACATCAAGTCGACGACGTTCTACTTCTTCCCAGTGTTAATATTCTTAATAAACAATTTAATAGTTTTTATCTTCACTGGGATAACGATAAGACGATTCAAAAATGATCTCAAAATCCGACTGTTGACCAGAAATCAAATATGCGATCGACAGGATCAAAGGATGCTTTGTATTCTCAATATAAGCCTAATGGCACCCGTAGTATTATTTTTCTTTATGGCATTTACTTGGGCTTTGCAATTTATCACTTGGAGTAATAACATTAATTCATTCAATTGGTACCCTTTGAATTTAGTTAATGCAGTCCATGGTTTCTTTGCGTTCGTCATTTTCGTACTTCGTAGGCCAATACGAGGTTTGATTTGGGATAGGATACAAAATCTTCATAATAGTCAAAGACAAACACCTAGACAGACAAGCATTTATAATCATTTTATTCTACACCCTTTAAAAATTGGAAACTAAGATTCACGTTACCTGATCGAATGATTTACACCAGGGCATCTAAAACCTTTCCAATTTTTATTAACCCTTTTATACCAACCAATATTTTTGCGATCTTAAATATAGACTCTGTAATATCTTCTGTTTACTATCATAAACTCACGAACGTACTATACATGTAACGTTGCCAAACAGGTTTTGAATTCATTTTCGGCCATTGTGTATACCAGGAATTTTTTAATTACGCGACCCCATATGGGATCGTAATATAAAATGGAGTCATATCAAAAATACGTATTAGAATAATAATATGTTAACAAAATTAAAACTTTCAGCTTGTACATATGTATGTATCCAACATTTTCGACTAGTAGTATAAATGATACGAATTGTATGAAGATTATTTGATATTATATAACTAGTTACTATACACGTACATGATTTTCACTTAAATTCGATAACGAACTAATGGAACAAAGATTAGATTCTCAACGAAAGATCTCAAATTTGTGATCAAGGTATTTGATTGGCTGTTATCGAAATTATACTTCTTTTATTTATTTGTATTTCATTGATAGAAAGAAAATGTTGTTGTAGGCATTTTCTAATTTACATTTTTTGAAAATTTATACGATTTTACTTTATCTGCTCTCTAAAAACAAATATTACACAATTAAATCTGTAATGATACATTTTTATGATGATTAAGATGTATTTATTTTGTATAGAATGTATTTTATAAGGAACAGTTATAACTTAATATAAATTATAAGACCCTCGAAATATCGGCGCGTTTGCCATGGGCAAAAAGGACGATTATTTTGAGACCCTCATCAACAGATGGGCCCAAATGTTAAATAATGTTATTTAGTTTTATTTTTAGTAAAATGATATCTACAATTATTATGATTATGATTATTATTACTACTATTATTTATCTTTTATGTATGGGTAAAAGTAAATGGTTTGGGAATTCCCATACAGCTCACGGTTTCTTTTGCGTTCGTCATTTTCGTACTCACCAACAGAGAGCCGAAATATCAAACGTGTAATTTTATTTTATTTTTAATCAAATGATGTCTACAATTATTATTATTATTATTATTATTATTATTATTATTATTATTATTATTATTATTATTAATTATCTTTTATGTATGGGTAAAAGTCAATGGCTTTGGGATTTCCCATCAAGAGGGATCCGAAATATCAAACGTGTAATTTTATTCTATTTTTAATAAAATGATATCTATAATTATCTTCTTATGGGTAAGATTATACCGAAGGTGTTAAATTTATTTCTGAAGAAAAATTCAACGCAACAACGTTAACAAAAATAAAATATAATCGAATTTTAATGAATGAAAAATATACGAGTGTAAAAAATAGACTAAACAGAATTATTATCGAGTAATACGCGATTCATACTTATTTCTTTTTATTCATTGCAATATAATTTGCATAATTGCATAAATCTTCAAATGAAAAATAAACGGTGATAACGATCAAAAAGGTAGAAAAAATAATAGAAGATCCGTAAATTTGAAACTACGACGACTAACTAGATAGTATTGTATCATCTTAAGTATATGAATCTCTATGAGTGTGTGTGTATATGTTGAGTAGGTTTCTTTAAGTATACGTAGGAACGATCTCAGGCACCAATCGATAAAACCTTGAGAGTCTTGAGGAGTCTGGCCAGTGCCTTCCCAGACGTGGATCTGTAAACTACGTGAAATCAAAGTCTTTGACGTGTTTCAGTGCGTCATCGTCAATTCAATTTCAATATAGAACAATACGTATTTAAAATTACTCCATATCTAACACAATAAGTTATTTGCGTATTGCGCGTATGAAAAAAATTCGAATCGCGGAAAGAAAAAATAAGAGTACTTATTTAAATCCTATAAAAAAAATGCATGCCGTTCTTTAACTTTTTCAACGATTGTTTAAGTTTATCAGAAACATTCCAAAAATCGTTTGAAAATGACTCATGAATTTACTAGAGCAGCACGTGCGTTTAATTCAAAGTTTTTATTTTCTTGTCTTCGATCAATAGAACTATTCCTCCTTCGATCTTCCTACTCCGATCTCTTTTGATCTTAGTAGACTTATGAAAGTAAATAATTTTTCTTAAAATAACAGAGAAAGTCGAGTCGATTGAAAAAAAAAGAAAAAAAAAAGAAAAAAAAGAAGAAAGAAAAAACCCACGTGTTTTCCCATAAATTAAATTATTCTCTAAATTGGACTTCAGTTTGTATTTTTGATTTCTTAAACGAACGGATAAAAGTATTGGTCAGATTTCTGGGTTAGCGAACTATAATTATTCGTTCCTTTCATTTCTCACGAAATCAAATTCCCGGAATTGTTCGAACATTCTTGGAAGAGATTACCCACGCCAAATCTGAAGAAAGATGAAGTCATTAATTTGTAGTTTATGAACGTACTTTCCAATCATCATCTGAATGAAACGAATAGTCGCGTTCGAATGTGTTTGAATCTATTCGTGAATATCCAAGAAGACTTGTGAACAAGAGTGTGTGTGTGTATTCGGGTGTGGGCGTGGGTGTGTCAAATTATTATTATTATTATTATTTAACGAAACGTGTATATAAAAAAATGAAGGAGGATACTTGACGGACAAGTAACTTGTCAGCTGAAGTGTTCATAATTACTAGTCAAGTATAAAATTTAATGGAAAAATTTGTGCACGTTCATTCAAATATCCAGTAAATCGTTTTAAAAGCAAACACATATTTCTAATCACGTTTAGAAAGAATATTTAAGCCTTGACAAAGATACTAAAAATAAGTGAAATAACTTGGAGAACAAACAAAAGGTGTAACTGCGTACGTTGATTGAAAAAAAAAAAGAAAAAGAAAAATAGGAAAAAAGCAATAAATATTCTTCGACGAAGAAGCAATATGCCAATCGTTCGCAAACGACAAATGGTTTTGGTTTTTCGACGTACCAAGCACGAAACTTGTATAATTTCTTTAAATATTCCTCGTAACAAGTGACAGAAAATTTGGATGTTACTGTTTATTTAATCGGAAGAAAATCAAATTAAAAATCAAAATGTATCGAAGTAATTGTTTGGTGAAAAGAAATGTATGCAGAATCATGGATAACTCGTGTTCGTTAGTACCTCTCGTCTTAAAACTTCTTCTAATCTCAAGACTGATTATCGTCGAGGGTTCAATGCCTGTCATTTATTCTATTCCACTGGTATGTTCATTTTATTTATTTATTTATTTATTTATTTATTTATTTATTAACAGAAGTGGCACCCTTTGACACATACATAAGTTGGATAAATAGTATTAGAGGATAGAGAACAGAAAACGAAAAATTGTAAAGACAAAATAAAAAAAAAATAAAAAATCTTAATTCAATGCTATAACGTATTATGTTTGTTATAAAGGTCAGTTTTGCATGGAATTTTATCGAGTTCGATTTTTTATTGTTTTCATACAATACGGTTCTCACGTATGTATGAGTACTTAAACGCGGCACAATACAGAATGAAATATTTATAACGGGAGCGTTATCGATTTACATTTATTTTCTCGTAGAAACATTTAAAGCATTTATTTTTAATCAATCTTCGGCGAAGTAACTTCGTTGAAAAAAAAACCCCTCGAATAAAATGTAATTTTAAATAATAATTCTCATTTAATATGTTTTTCTTTCCTTCTTTCATTCGCAGGAAAACATCACGTCCATTTCGGAAGAATACAAAACTTTGCCATTGGTAGCAAAGTGTTGTCCGATTAATGAAATATTAATTCGAGACAAAGGACAGAGTTCAAAATGCATTTCATCGTTGAACTATTCGTCCGAGTCTATATTCTCGCCATTCTTTTGCGATTTCAACTCATCCGGTATATTAATACCGGGGGACAAACATGACCATTTCGTTGCAATCGTTGGCGAACCTTGTCAATATAACAGGTAATTTATACTTTTGTGTATTCTTCTTTTTCTTTATGATAAGAATGAAAAATGAAGTATAGTAATTATTCCCCGGTGACTTTTTAAAACAAATTTAATATTTATTTAATAAGATGATCATACATCTGTTAATCTTCGAAAATAGTCTTCATTATTTTCAATAACTTTGGTCCATCTTTTTTAGGCAATTGTCGAATTCGTTGATAAAAAAAAAGATACCGATTTTGATGAAATGAATTTAATATCAAGGCACCGAATTAATTTCTATTAATTTTTATTAATTTCTATAATAGATTTCTTGTATAGTAAATAAATTCGCATAATCATTCGGTTTGGTACGCGTATCGGACTCGTATCAATGACCAACGACGAATCATTTGATAAGCGTTCAAATTGAAACGCAAGATGACTGTTTTCGATAAACCTGACGTTCGTGTTTATCTCATTTTATTTTCTTGATAGAAGCGTGAAAATAAAGAAAAAGAAAGAAATAGAAATAGACAGATAACGGGAAATATATCCTCGATCGTGAACGCGACATTGTACGACGCATACATTTTTCCACAATGAATATTATTTACCTAACGTAATGAAAAAAGAAAATAATGGAAAAAAGTTATTATTTCCTGGACTTATCATAACTCGATCGCATTGAGTATCTATCATCATCGTAATCAATTTCAAAGCTAACAATAAGACTTTATCATTGTATTTCTTACGTAAAATTTATATACGTAGGCCCTATTTTTGTCTTTTTTCAACGACTAGGTGGAATGTGCCAAGATCATCTTTACTCGATCGATAAAAGAATCTTCGGTTAAATATATTTAACATTGTATCGCAGATACGAACGGGGAAATCATTCGTATTGGTTGTTAATTTTAACGAGATATCGTACACGTTTTAAATGATTTTAACTTATTTTTAAAATACAAAATTATTGAATTTCTTTTTTTCTTTTGCAGATATTTATTATCGCCAGAAATCAATGTGGAAGATAAACATTACCTTTTACTCAATGGTACGATTTTTTTACCGGACTCTTTTCCTCGAATGCTCATGCCTGGAGTCGATTATTGCATGGAAGTAACACCAACGTTGGGTCTGATAACGGTGGTCTGTTCTCGGAACGGTAAATATAACGTACAAGTATTAAACTAAAAAAAGAAAGAAAAAAAATATATTGCATTGTAAAAATAATCGAAACAGAAAACCAACATAAAGATTTTATTATTGTTATTTTTAGAAGATAAAATATTGATGGCGGACACTCGAATCATTTTTTATGCCTGTGGACTTTTAATATCTGTACCATTTTTAATACTCACCATAATAGCTTTTTCAATAACGCCTAAGTTAAGAGACGTTTATGGAAAAATACTTTGTCATTATTGCGGATGTTTGGCGTTAGCTTTTACCGGTTTAGCAATTACGCAACTTGGTGGCGTACATTGGGAAGGTCATACATGTATAGGCATAGGTGAGTTTTAAAACAAAGAAAAGAAAAAATGATCTAATTACAATTCTATCAATAATTCACGAGAATTCATTACGATAATTCATTCGACTAGACTTCGGTTCTATTAATTGAATTCATTATAAATGAATCGATCTCCTTTACAGTTGAACGTTTAAAATTAAATACTTTCATTTAAGATTAATGCGTTATTACCTTATACTATCTTATTTATAATTAATATGATGAAATGATCGATGTTTGATTTTTTTTTTACAGCCTTCGTTATCCAATTCTCGTTCATGGCCTCTTATTTCTGGTTGAACGTGATGTGCATTGAGACATGGTTACTGATACGAAATCACGTTCATCATGCAGCATATAAAAAAATCAAACCCAATGTACTTTTCTTTTATTACTCGATATGGGCTTGGGGTTCCGCTGGTATTCTTATTCTTTTATCTATAGTATTGGATCTCAACCCAACGATACCTATGATATACGTAAAACCTAACTTCAATAGCGATAATGAAAGCTGTTGGTTTAAATGTAAGTTCCTATCAAATTATTTTTTGAAATACTTTTACGATCATTCATATACACGATGTTTAAAAAATATTTTCTATTATTTTAGCGGATACCCAATCGATGCCATACTTTTACGTGCCAATGGTGTTGCTTTTACTAGTCAATTTAATAATTTTTATTCTAACTGGAATAACGATAAGAAAATACCAAAAGGATCTCGCGATTAGACGATTAGCAAGAAATCAAGAATCCGATCGGCAAGATCAAAGAATGTTTCGTAGTTTGAAAAGAACATTTATAGTCTGCTTAGTATTATTTTCTTTGATGAGTTTAACTTTGACTATGGAATTGATATCCTGGTGGACCGGTGGTAATCCCTTCGATTGGTCGGTTTATGATTTGGTTAATGCTCTGCAAGGTCTTCTTATATTTGGTCTTTTTGTATTACGTAGACCAGCTCGAGATTTTATCTGGTACAGAATACAAACACTACGTGGTATCGATACGGTCGAACCGCAAACTGACACCGCTGCTTTTAGTCTTCTTACTGTTATCAATTAAAATTAGAAAAAAATTAGTTAATAATTAATTTATGAGAGATTATTTGGTATGACGTAATTGACAACTGTAGATTTGTGTCTCGTGTGTCTGTGTGTGTGTATGTGAATGTGTATATATTGGGCAAGTTTTATATTAAAACAATTAGACATAATATTTTATTGACGTCAAATTCAATTCGACAACGAACTGATAGAACAAAGATTAGAATTAATAGAATTATTTAATGAATTTTTAATTGATTATATATTATTATATATATATATATATATATTTAAAAAGAGATAGGAATGTTTTTAACTTAAATGTTAATGTATATTTTTTTTATCTGTGCTAAAATTATATAATAATTATTAGGTTGCATAAAAAAGCATTAAAGCAAATGTTAAAGAAATTATGCAACAACCTTATAATAAGATGTTTTCTCGCCATTAGATTATCAGTTATATTTGTGTATAACTGACAATGAGTTTTAAGTATGCGTGTCTACATCAGTTATCTAACCATTAGAAGTTGTATGTCATTAATTCTAACTTTATTTAATTCATCATTAAAATATATCTATTTTCATCATAAAATGATCTTTTAAATGATCAAATTATAAACAAACCTTGAAGAAATCATGTAAATTTCATCGTCCTATTATTACTACCATTATTTCATTAAAATATATTATATATTAAAAAATTGTTCGGTCTCTATTGTTATTATTATTATTTATTTATATTGTATAACTTTATTTAACCCTTTATTTAACTACTATTGACCCATATATGGGGGTCATCCATGCAAAATCCCTGTATGACCTACTGACCGACCCATATAAGGGTCGTATACCATGCAACGATAAATATAATCGATACCATTGGAATAAAAATATTTATACGAATTAGGAGTATTTAATATTTGTACATAATGACTAAGGTTTAGTTTAACAATGAAATGCAATGATAAAAAATACTATTACATTTTATTTTCATCATCATATATGTATATATATACATATATCATAATATATATTTATTATTTCGTATTCATATACACGATTCATTGTCTTGTATGTATACCCAAACTCGTATATAAATTTTAAAATAGTAAGTCATTATATATTGACTTACATATCCAGTCAACAAGCTTCGTTATTTAATAACGAATAATTTAAAAAATTTGTTCTCAGAAGAGTGCACGCGTACATGTATTAATTAAAAAAATGTCTTATATTTAGATAAAATGCTTTAGTGCACTCTAATAAGCTTTCCGAGATACACATAAGATAATTAAGCGCGAGTGCATCCGAGCAATAAACTCAGAAGCATTAACCAGGTACCGAAAATAACATTTAAATATTTTTAACTAAATTCTCTACGTATATTAATAAAATGTATATATATTTATATACTTTTCGGAGATCAGGTGTTGAGTTCTGACAAAAAGATAGGTAATTGGCTGAAACGGTGCCCTAATTTTAATTGAAGTAATTTGATAGAATATTTATTTTGCTGATGAGAAAATTCACATCCATTAATACAATACGTAAAAAATGTTCTCCGAGAATTCAACTCCTGATCTCCATACTATAGCTATATAATTTTATATTAAGTTTTCCCATTAAACCTCAATACGAATGCTATACACGTTATGTTTCTTTGTTCGATGGAATTATCACAATAATAGGAAATAAGTATTTAATCGATCCTTTATGATTGAAGGCTTTGAAAAGCGACATTTAAATAAAATAGCATATATTATCTCTATTTTGCGTGTATCATTCTCTAATAGAAAATAATAATTCTTTTTGTAATTAGATTTCAAATGAGATCAGATCAATTTTTTTGTCATTTAGAAACTATTTAACCTGTGCTATAGGTTCCCGCGGTATATATATATATATATATATATATATATATATATATGTGTATGTGTATGTGTGTATATAATTAAACACCAGTAAATTTACATTTTATAAACCAATGTTTATAAATCATTTGCCATGGCAAGACTTCTAATATAATTGTCATTGTATTAAAAAAAGAAGAAAACATATGTAATTCTTTTTGGTCAATTATTCTTCTTAGGCCTACCTGTTACAATTAATGACCCAAACCAAACTATCTTACCGATCATACCGTCATATACACCGATAAAAAACCCATTTTCGTTGATATTCCGAGATTATTTACTATGTTATAAAAATAATTTAACTAATTTGTCTGGACTTTGACAGATTCGATCAAAGTGGTCTACGATGACCTGGAAATGGTGGGCTCATACCAAGAATTCCTTTCAAATCACCACGTTGCGCAACGTAAATTAAACGGTACATTCCAGGAATTCTAAGGGCCGTCTCGTTAAAAAATATTCTTTCCGTTATCGGTTCAGAAGGTCCCATTTCTGAAGTTTCTCCTATTCTACCTAATGATAATTATAATATTTATTAGACAACAGAGACAAAAAATTTCAATAAAATTAATAAAATAAATTGTGTTTCTTCTTACCTCGTCCAACGTATTCATAGACGATGTATTCGTCTAAGCTAGAAAACTGATTATGAAAAAGACCCACCCAATCTCCACTGACCGGTCTTACATCACCGATCAATCTATATGATACTGAATTTTCTTCATCTATGAACCAAGCAGTAACTGGCTGGAATTCAACGCCGTTATCTTCCACATGTGGCCTGATCTAAATAAAATACATTCAAATTTACATATAGAAAACAAGAAATATATGTAGAAAAAAAATTAAAAAAAAACAAAGAACAATTTCACTACCGTGATATTAAATTCACCGGTTACAGGCTTGTGATCGGATTGAATGAAATTAGGGTGACTCTTGTAATTAAGTTGTAATGCACTTAATGTAACATCATCGTATACATTTGCATTAACTTTGTACAAAATTCTATCCGTCCAAGATGGTCTACGCCTGTAAGAAAAAATTTTTAATAAACATTGTAGACAATTCACATAATCAATGTGTGAATAATATTTTAATCATCGTATACTTGAGATCAAAATCTTGCGAAGCAAATTCAAATTTATATGTAGGAGGAAATTCTATATCGTTTTCATGGAGTTCAGCAAATGCATCACCATTTCTCATCACCATCTTTAATTGGTCCCTTTCTAAAAGTAAATTCAATTGATTTTTTTTAACTAACAAATCAATATCAGTTGCAGTTAAATCTTCTCCATGAAGTCTAAAATTTAAGTCTCCAATCCAAAATACGTAGCTGAAAAAGAATTAAAGCAATTGTCCATAAACTTGATCCGTATCAAAATCAGTATACGTATATATCTATGTTATAAATATATATATGTATATATATATACAAACTCATGAAATAAAATATTTGGTGTGTCAGGCGCAGTAAAAGAATGTTCTCTAAGAATAGTATTGTAATCCGCTATTCTATCTGCTAATAGATGATCATGGGGTGTAAGATGTGTGTTTACAACACAAATGCTAACACCGTACAGATTAAATCTTATGCTTACGGCACCCTTATTACCCTAAAAAATATATTTGTATGTATAAAAAATATTTGTATATATATAGAATTTTGAATATCAATTTCTTACCCACATTCCACCAAATCCTGTTCTTGTATATTGCGCTTCGACCATTCTTAAATGGGTTATATGTTTTCTTAAACAGAAAAAATTTAGAACAAGACCCTGTAACCGTTGAGAACGGATTTTCACATAATCGTGATCTTTTAATACTTCTCTGTAATTATTAGCGTTAACATGTAGAATTTGTATCGCTTTAATATATTTAATTGTCACAATATTGAGGACAAATGATTAAAATATTTGCTGCGTAAACTTGCCTAAACGATTTGGTCCATGGATCCTCTTGAAACAAAGTATCTAATATCATATTCTGTGGTTGCGCCTTTACCTCCTGTAGTCTACCATAAAATATAATCAATTCTTATTGATATACTTCAGTTTTTTTCTATACAAATTTCTCTATGGGTTAAAATACTTAAACATACCCAATAAAAAATATATCCGGTAAGGGATTTAATACTCCATGCTTAATATTTAAAAGTTGATGGAGAGCTTGCTCTGGGTACCTTGTAGCAACATTCCACGTAACAAAGTAAATCCTTAACGAGAAAATAAAATAAATCAACGCATAAGAATTAGATAAGATAATCTCATTATAACAATCATTTAATTTAACTACGACATATTAATATTATCAATAATTGCAACCCAATTGTTATTCTAAATATATGTGTATATGTTTATAAATGCATAAAAGTAATTAATTACAAAAACAAACTTACCTTAAACGTTCTAATTGTGCTGCCATTTCGTTTACAGTTATATGAAGTTTAAATTCCAAGTATCTCAGTAACGCTGATACCGAGTTTTAAATGTAAGGTTAGAATGATGCATGTCGTAAAAAAGTTATTATTACGAGCGTGCATTAATTAAAGGCAATCAAGATATACATAATTTGCAAAAAAACGTGGAAATATTGCAATATGCAGAGGAGTGGTTATTTTACAAGACCATATCCTTCACGATTGTTGACATTTCTAAAGAAGAAGTCTGGAGAAACCTTTCCCCGCCTAACTCTAACCACGTGACGTGACAGCAACCTGTCGTTGGTGATGCCTTTGCATGACCCAATTTTGAATTATTCAACTACGATCTATACTCTTGCTTTCTTTTTATTTCATTATTTATTCGCGGTATTAACTTTATCGATTATTTTTCTTATCATATTCTTATATCACAATTATTATATCTACATGTATATTTGTACAGTTTTTAGTTTATTTATTCGTATGTAAAAAAGTTCCAAAAAAGCAACGTCATTCTTTGTTGCGTAAAAATGGCGAATTAAGTAAACTATGAATTATTCTTTCTATCGATAAAGAAAATTCACAAATTCAATAACTCAATGTAATTATTCTTGCTTTAAATAATTAATTAAAATGATTATTTAATAATACGAAATTCGTGGTTACTTTAATGACAAATTAATGTACTAAAAATAATGTATTATATAAAAAAGAAAGATGTTTATTCGCACGCATAACATTCGACATACTATCAATGTTATTTTTTTTTTTCTATAGAAAGAATAAAAAGTTGACAAAAAAAAACGTGTCAAATATTAAAAAATGCAACGTAAATATTTACAATCGGAACGATTAATTCGATCCTTGTTCTTAAACTAATGCGAAATAATTCTAAAAGGCGGCGATCTTTTCATTAAATTTAACACATTGAATGCCACGGCGTTTTTTCATTCAATAGGGCCACGTAGGTCATCTGTGATTAGCGTTATTATACTGTTTTATATTTAATCTTAAAATGTGGCTTCTGCGGGGGAAAAACGCGTAAAATTTGCGTGGCAGTCAACGCGTTTAATCAAATATTGTTTGGATTGAAGTTCGTTCGGGTCGATTAAAATCGATAGTTCAAGGAGACGGAAAGAAATGGAGAGGAGAGGATGGGAGGAGGAGAGGGAGAGAGGGATCAATACATCATCCCCGGATGTGTGGCTCTCTGGAAAAATACGTTTGGATTTGCTGATAAAGTCGTGTAGAGATTTCCAGCGTCCTCCGGCCTCAAATACATGCCGGATGGTAGAACAAACGTCTCCATCGGCCCATGAACCTCTGAAAACGAGCAAGAGAAAACATTTAAGTAGTACGAGAATCCTCTTATACACACACGTATAACATACTTTTACTTTAGAAATCATCAAACGATCAACAACTTCAAAAACATTGTTAAATAAAAATAATGTAACTCGTTTGGATTGCAAATCTACGTAAATCAATTTAAATATAAAATTAACTAAATGAAATAACAGAAAAAACATCGATCATTCTAATACAAAAATTCGATTATATTGGATATAATAATAATAATAATAAATTTTAAATGTAATATTTCATTTAAAAAAAAAACGATTTCAACCAACATAAAAGAGCAAAGCGCAATTTATTAATGCGGTTTTATCGGTGTCTGACATCGATAATAGTGTTCTACTTATGCGGCTGACCATAAACGTCATTTCATACTTCTCCAATAACACGCGTGATAGTATAATAAATATTCTACATTTATCATTACATATTGAGATACTCCGAATCAAAAAGAAAAAAAAGAAGAAAAAAAAAGAAGAAAAAAAAAAAGTCATTCGTATTAAAAGAGGGCCCCTGAAGTATCGTTATTAAGGAATACGAATCACGTGTGGGTTTTTAATCATAGTTCTGTCTCGTCAAAAGATCCATTATTTTCTTCCCATCCCATCTTTCCCATCTCACCCCCGATTCTTTCGCTTCGCCGAGCGCAAACAAAAAAAGAAATAAAAAGTAAAATGTACATGGAAAAAAAAAAAGAAAAGAAAAGAGAAAAGAGGAAAAAAAAGTCGTATAAAAAGTTCGAAGTAGGTGCGAGAGGTTTGACTCGTTTAAGTGGATGGTCAAGGGGCTAGTGACCTTTAGCTCGTAATTTCTAGTATATTCCACGCCTTGCTCGTAATAATGAACATTACGGTAAAGAGACATATCGCGCGTTATGTAGGCATCGCGTTTTGCACTTCACGCTTTCAGCGCAAATACTTAGAACGCTGACGTTATTGACTAATCGACGAATAACGTCAATCTTTTTATTTCTTTCTTTCTTTTTTATTTTCCCTCAAATGAATTTGAATAAATATAAATATGTAGATATACGTTTACAAACGTCAGCATTCTTATGTTAATTAATATTTTTTGTTAATTTCGTTCTAATAAGATCATTATCAAGTGAAATTAAAAGGAATAGATAAATGTGTGTGTGTGTGTGTGTGTTCGCGCGCATGTGCATGCGAAAACTAACATTCCTTTTTTTAAGAGGGAAAGCTTTAAGTAACTTGCAGGCGGTTCGACGACGACGACGACGACGACGACGAGGATGTCGTTCGTTCGATCTAACGGTACCCTTTTTCCTCTCTTCTTCCTTTAAACGCCGAAGAAGTGCTTGACCCTCGTCTTGGAACTTTCTCTCTCTCTCTCTCTCTCTCTCTCTCTCTTTCTCTCTTTCTCTTTCTCTCTTTATCTCTCTCTTTATCTTTATTTTTATTTTTCTTTTTTTCTTTCTCCCACATATCTCTCTCCCTCTCTCTCTCTCTAGCTAAAACGTACGATTTTTCTTCCCTTTCGTTTGGTACTTACGAGTTGAAGGTCGCGAGAAGTCAAGAGCGTAAACGAGGAACCAATTACGTTGAAGGAAAAATGCACGGCAAGAAGAAGAAAAAGAAGAGACGACATGTCGCCGCTAGAAGAGAGCGATTTTATTGCACGTACTTTAACGTTGCAAATTTATCATGGGATTTTCTTGCAGAAGATAAATACTAAGAATGTCTACGTCTCGATATTGGATAAATAAATGATTTATCAAAATAATCTTAAGGAAGATAGAGTTAAGAGAAATCAACAATTTAATTTTAGGTAATTTCAAATTGAAGTTGCAAAGTCGAATATATCGATGACTTACCATCGGAATATATTGGAGGACTTCCCCCATGTCTGCAAGCACTGCAACCAGGTATTCCCGATGAGACCAACGCGACGCGATCTGTAATATCGTAAAAACGTGTGAAAATGATTATCTTTCTTTTATTTGATTTTTTGAATGAATTGCATTCTTTTTTCAAAAAATCCTATTAATTATAATAGTTTCTCTATTTTCTACTTGGGTTATACGGTATAAAATTACTGTACGTAAAGTTTAGAATATCGTAATCGAAAAGAAACTCGTTGCAATTGTGAAATAAACGTAATTCAGCTAATAGCGCAACTTACACGTGCGTGCGAAACGACAAAAGAAATTTACAAATGGGGTTTCGGGTGAAATCATTAAAATTCGTCCATTCTAACGTACCAGCGCTGTGATAATGCATCTTCCTCTTCAAGGACGTTTCGACAGGTTTGAAATGAAAAAAGGAAGGAGAATAGCCGCTTCCAGGTAGAGAGCTGAGTGCGTCATCGCGATCTCGAATGACGGTTGTGGGTCCTTCTCGACCAAGGGCAGCCAATTGCCGACCCTTCGGCAGAAACATCGTCAAAAATACGAGAAAAGAAGTAGTCAGGAGACCATAAGCCAGCCACGCCTCCTTATCGCTCTCGGAGGACGCTACTGTTGAACCAATCGCGCTTGATATCCAAATGGGCAATGATAAACCAACGGCGAGTCCGATAAAAGCAGCTTCTCTATTATTATCACGAACGCCACGTGCACGAACGGCTAAACAGGCTACCGCTACTAACAGTATCCCTGGATATCTAAAGCAACAAAAATGGAACAAAATGAAAGGATCAAATTTGTAGAAAATATTATGGATTTTTATACTGTGTGTCACATCTGTAATCCAAAAGTTACATTTCAAAATTTTACCCGAGGGAAGCCACTGTCTGTCCGAGAGGAGTTTTGCAACCCAATGCAACCGGACCGCTCTGATCAACGTTTTGAACTTGGATAACTGCAGGTGGTTCCCCGTAAAACCATTGGCCGACGATGGCTACTTGTACCAGCACTGCAAATACCAGTACTAAAGCCTGCGATGAAGTAACAAAAAAATATTATTCAAATATATATATAAATATTATTTCCAATCTGTCAATGTGTGTGTTAGTTACGTACATGTTGCTTTTGCGCGAATAGTCGCGTACCATTGGCATTCTGATCGCTCGGCGCAGACCGAACGTGAAAAATTCCGAGTATTCACGGTCTAAGTCGTCCCACGAGTTTCTATACACTAACCCACTATTGTGTATACGTGTGTTGCCTATACACGACTACAAACAAGCTTTTCATTCATATCGAACACTCGCGTGATAGCTTTACCGCAGATCGAGAAACAAGACCGGATCTCTTTGGAAAAAATTCTTAGATATAACCAACATTCCTTGAAACCGCGAAAATGATCTTTCTCAATAAATATTCAAATTGGCGTTAAATAGAAAATATTAAAAAAAAAAAAACAAAATGTAATTATGCAAATTGCTCTGCATTATACGAATTTAATGAAAAATCTTCGATGCGTGTACTTAATTATAGTTCGTACTAACTTGATAAGGTGCTGGCAAATAGACGCCGCTATTCAAGGAAAGAAGGAAGACACATTTGACGAGCAGGGCCGCAAATACGAGGGCCGCTGGTAAACCGACTAGTCTGAAGGCTGCACAGGATAAAGGATTTTGACTGAGAGAAGCTGCAGCCGAAAGTCCGGCCAAAAGAAAGAGACCAAGTAACAAAGCTTGGCCTAGGAACAAGTGTCGTCTGTTTGGGGCTGCTGCTCTTGCCTGAAATTACATCGGAAATATCATATATTAAATATTTTCATGAGAAAGAAATAAAAAAAGAAAAAGAAAAAAAAAGAAAAAAAGTTCCTGTTGATTAAATCGGTCGTAATTATGCTATCTTTATCATCGATCTTAATTTGGTGTTCGAAGCATTATGCGTGATTCCGAGCAAGGTAAATAACGAATATGAAACGAGTAGGCGCCGTCTTGCTCCAGATTGTATACAGAGGAAGAATACACCATAATCGTAAGCAAATTAAATCGGATCGCTTTCTCAATGAGCGCATATTAATTTCTCTAATTATAATGAAGACAAAATTTAAACAAATACTTTATCTATAATTTATATGTATAAACAGATATATATATATAAATACGGTACACGCGCATACACATAGATTACTGCTCGTTCAGATCGAACAAGTAGCCGTAAAAGTTTCGAAAGTAATCGATAACTTCCTCAAACGACAAGAACGGTAACGAGATAGTAATGGTATGATAATAATAGAGCGTCTACGTCTGAGGAGCAATGTGTGATAGGGAAAGAAACTCGTTTTACTATCACGGCCTTTCCCGACTCGTTTGCTCGTGGCCCAATGGAGCGTGGCAATACGCAACCTAGACGACGAGACATGTCGAACATAGAAACATTCGACAAACTAGGCCTAGGTCTCGGCGAAATTCTCTTTATCGGGTCCGGATTATCGGAGCTTGTCGAAGAATTCTATCGAAAATAATATATATTACGAGAACTGTTTAAGATCAATGAAAAATCTCGGTCAAAATAATCTTATTTCTCAAGAACTCGATGTTCCTTCGTCTATGTCCGAAAACAATTGAAAAGTATTTTAAATGCTGGTAATTTCATTGCTACTGAGATTAGAAAAAAAAATAGAAAAGAAAAAATAATCATTTGTAAGTAGGATGAGAGAATATTAAAAAGTATCCATTAATGTTAAAGTTTAGAGCATTGACCAACCTTGAGGAGTACGAAAACCTCGAAACCAGCCATGAGTAGCATCGCTGCGGCACTTAGGGCTGCAAGGGGAAGAGCCCAAGGTCGTTGTCTGAGAAGGAAACGCGAGCTTGGCGGTCTACTGGATTCGGTTTCGCGTTCCTGGCCCTTCCTAGTAGGCATCCTGAAGACGGAGATGGTTCTGTTCGGTGCCGGTACGCTGATAACGCTGGCCACGCTTGCCAAACCATTTCTATCGACTGTATCTTCCGACGGTACAAGGAAGAATTCCGTTGATAATTCGTAATCCTTAGAATACGAAGGACTTCGGATGGCTTCAACAGAACCGAACAAGCTCGCCGTGGCACACGAAAGAAATATTGGACTTAGCCTCATGTCGAGACAAACTCTCCTTGTGTCCTCTTGTCACCGCTTCGTGTATCTTCTCCTACGCAATCGCATCCTTACGTATAAGGGATCGTCTTGTTTTCTTTTTCTCTGCCTCCGTAAGATTTTCTCTTTCCCAATCTCTGAAAATAGCGAACCAATCTGACATTCTGTTGTTTGAATTTTTTCTTTTTTTTTTTATTGTTTTTTTTTAATTTTTCATTTATTCAAACGTTCATCTTGTCGGTCACAATTACAACGACGACGTCAATGATGATAATAATGATGATTTTCACGAAGAACGTTTTCTTTAACAGACACGTAAATTAAAAGCACATGATTCGTAACGCCGATGAATAAACCAATGAAATTAACGTTCGACATGCTTGTTACCTGAAGAACTTAAATCTCCTATAATTTATGAGCCAGGGTACGAATAATAATAAGGAGTTTCACGCTAATACTTAAACGCACGCTATCGCGCCAAGGATGGATGCGTTGCAATAACCCGGTCATGATGATAAAACGACAAGAAAAGATCACCGGTTATAAAGATTCCCTAAGACTTATCAGCGGCCCGTAAAAAATACCTACATACGCGGGAAAGGAACGTTGTTGATAATCGTAAAACAAGTTTGAACGTAAGTAGAGTGGAGCGAGATCAAGGAAATAAATAAAGTTTAAAGGAAAAGTTGAAAGAAAGTGCGTGCAGATATCACGAAAGGTTTTTTTTTCTTTTCTCTAGTACGATTAACTAGTATGTGATATTATTTTGGAAATGATGTTTAACCTTTCTCTCTCTTTTTCCTTGCTTCTTCTTCTATCTCTTTTTCTCAGACAATTCTCCTCATCTTTGATAAAAAACGTGAAGAAACGGTCACGTGCATCCCCCGTCTTTGTCACTCATCAACTTGAAACGATTCTCCTCCAGTCGAATTTTCCCGCGCTTTTTTATCAATAAAAATAAAGGAACGATTCGTAGAAAATAATGTTATTTTAATTATCGATCGAATGAAAAGAAATTTTAATTGATACTTTTAGATCGGATGGAAAAAATACTGGTCAAATGATTCGAATATGCCGAGCATGGAGGAGGAGCTCGAGGTGCACGTTGCGAGAGGCACGTTCCTACTAAACCGCGAAGAACTCTCGAGGACGAAACTGGAAGCGTACTAGAGTTCCGTCCTGCGGAGGTGAAGCCTATCCGTTACAGAGGAACCAGGGAGATGGTGATGACGATGGGGCATAGTGATGGTGGTGGTGATGGTGATGGTGGAGGTGATGGTGGAGGTGGTGGTGGTAGTAACGCTGGTGTGGTGATGGTTTTGCCACGAACCAGGAGCGGATACTACCAATCTGTAAAGAAATCACAAAGGTAAAATTAGAAACGGACGTTACGACAAATTTCTAACACGTCAATGGATTCTTCATTTTTTTTTCTCTTTTTTTTTTACATTAGATAACTTCAATAAAAATTTGATTGACTCGCGATGTATTACTATTTTCATTTGAATTATAATCATCCATCTTTCGAAGAACCTGGATTTATGTAATATTCATATGCTGTAAAATTAGAAAAATTGTTTATCGTTTGTAGGATTTATTTAAAAATGTGATAAATACGCGATATATACTTTCACTGAAAGCACACGTTGTCTCGGATCAGTTGCGTCCCTGTAAAGAAAAGAGAGAATGCAGTATGGGGAATAAAGGAACGTAGGAGAAAGAGAGTTGCAGTTGGATAAAGAGAACGAGAGGAGTTGGTCCTCCGATGTCGAGGACCGGACTCTCAACGATGCATTTACATATCGGACATGTAATAACCTCGAAAAAGTATTAACAATGAATGCCCGAGGTTCGTCTCGGCTTGAACCAAGAAACGAACGAACGAACGAACGTACGAACGTACAAACGAACAAACGAAGAAAAAGATAGAAGGAGGAGTAGGAGGAGAAGAAAAGGACGGAGGACGATCGAACGTTGCGTTTAACGAACTCTGTAACTTCCAACGACGGTGTCGACGGACAGTCGAAATTCCATCGCAAAAAGTTGACGGGACGTCTTATTAGAAACGCCCTTTCTCATAATTGTCTCATATGCGAGAGATACAATTAAAAAAAAAAAAAAAGAAATAAAAAAAGAAAAAAAAAGAACGTAAAGATAAAAAATACAAAATAAGATACAGAATATCTTCAAAAGTAATTTCAACCTTGAAATTTTTACTCGTCCTCGGCTTTTTTTTCTATTTTAATAGAACGTGAAAAGATATTCGTTCTTCACAATCATTTCTAGTTACTGTTACTAGTTTTCTTTTTTATTTTTTTTTATCGTCAAATAAAACGCTCTACATACGATATCCTTGATAAAAAAAAAAAAATAAAAAAAAAAAGAATAAAATATAAAATCAGAATGAAACGTGGAACCAACAGCGTGCGTGTCTTTGGAGGGTTCTCTTTGAGGTCAAATCACGAGGATACACGTACGCATAGCGGTACGTTTCCTTTCGTTCTCGTAAGAAATTTCTGTGTACGTATGCTAAAGTCGATATATGTGGGCGCATTCACGTCATAGATCGACGATCTTACTCGTAAGTAAGTACTACGTAAGGAGACATTCGGTAGCTCTGCCGATCGAACCCTGCACTCGGAGTTCGACGAACCCTTTGTCTCGAAAACCGGACAAACCGTTTGCACATCGGTGCGGGTCTCGACTTCGTGATATCATGATACAGGCTGTTTCAAAGCTTCAAAAGTGCATAGATATTATGTTCATTTAATTTAATTACAAGATTTTCATTCGGACCATCATAACTGATCATTTTCATTGAAAACTTTCTTGATATAAGTTTCTTTTTGTCTTAAAATAATATTAAAATGAAATCTACGATCATTGTACTTCAGAAATTTGATTGCGAATATCTTATGCAATCTGATTGTGAGATAACATCGATGCCAGTGAAAATGTTTCGAGGAATTATTCAACATTCAAAAACGATCCCTTCGAGAACGAATTATACAATAAGTTTGAAGAGCAATGCGAAGCCACACCCGGTCACTTTCTCCACCAAAGCCAAAGTCATTCTTGTACCGTATAGTACCGTGCTTAATGACGCAAGCTACCCACGCGATCTAATGTAAGGTACGGTAAATCGTTTCCCTTTCACGTCTAAGTAAAAAGGATAGAATTTAGTTGCAAGCTTTTCAGCCTTTTAGATAACTTAAATTTAATTAAAGAAATTCTGGATTTCCAATGACCACCCACCACCCACCCACTTTCATTCATTCTCGTGTCTAATTGAGAAAATATTTAAAATGTGAAAACAAATCTATGGTTTAAGAAAACAAAAACTAATTTGTTTGTATTAAAAAATAATTGGAAAATGATTAAATACTTAAAAATAATAAATAAAAATATTTAAGATAACATAAAGTTATGTCTTGGATTACTCGAGTTTGTTTCCTTTAAAATACTTCGACGCAAAGTTATTCCATCTTTTTCTCTCACACGTGAAATTCCTCGGAGCGGGTACGCAAAGCCGAAAAGTTCGCGGTTGTACACCAAATCTCCGAGTTGCGCCATGTTATTGGGGACCAGTGAGCTCGATGCACGAGAAAGAAAGAGAGAAAAGCATTCGCTTGTAACCGGTTTCGACGAACTAAAGCTAAATAAAGTCATGTATGTACCAGGATGAACGGAGAATATCGTCGTACCAATAATTCTCATCTCGAAGAACAATGATAGATTTAGAAATCGAACTTAAATCCAACTAACTATTCTACAAGCTTTCTCAAACAGAATTACTTTGCCGATACTGCGAAAACAACTATCGTCTTGTCTTAAGAATTTTTTAAATTATTATATCTACTAATGTAAAATTAAATACGTCAAAATAACGAAAAGAAATGAAATTTTCAAACAAATTGTAACCAATATATGTACGCCTGAATTTTAGATAAAAGAAAGTCCAAATGAAATTTACTGATCAATATTATTTCATTATTACTGAGAAAACTTAACTACTACGATCTTGTTTCAAATATATTTTAATTACTATACTTATCTATTGAATTGAAATACGACAAAATAATGAATACAAACATATACGAATGAATGAATGAATGAATGAAGTGTTTAAGACGCGTTAAGATACAAATCTGTACGTCTAAATTCGAGATAAACAAAAAAGGATCCAACTCCAACAAAAAAGAGAAAATGGAACCACGCATATATTATTTTTATTCTCGAAACTTAACTCCTTTTGTCTTTTTGCTTCATCGAGCGCGATACGTTGATAAGTCGACCCTTCTACGACGATTCATTTGAATATAAATCCGGTTGTCTGCACTTGGCGTAAGGTACATGTGCGCAAAGGGCGACGGGAGAAAGAAGAGTTGGAAGAAGATAGGAACTAACCCTGTAGAGAAAAAGAGAAAGAAAAAAAGAAAAAAAGAAAGAGAGACAGAGAGAGAGACAGAAAAATATAAGAAGACTAACGTATACGCGTATGAACCAGAGAAAGAGAAAAATAGATGCATTTCTTTTTTTCTTTCCTTGTTTATTGTAACCACAAACTGCGGTGGTCGCTGCTCATGCAGGATGATATTTTTTCTTATCCTTATTTCAAGGAAGGGTTCGTCCTCTCGCATGAATCCTTGTATTGCTTTCTTTTTCTACTCTCTTTCGTTCTCTCGAGAAGAGTTAACCGAAATTCGGAGCCTAAATAAATACTCGTGCGATGACAGGACGCATTTTTGTTTAAAAAATCAAATAAAAACATTGTTGATACAAAAAAACAAAAGAAATAACGTAAGATATTATCGTGATTATTCAAAAACAAAACAAAAACAAATAAACAAAAAAAAAAAAGAGAAACCTTACAAGAGTATAAGAAATCTTCTTCATGAAACGTTATCTTCGTTGGCGACTTTAGTCCTTTTGGTTAAAAATTAAAGGGCGAAGGTTTAACCACAAAAGATCGTCTTCCCTATCTCCTAGCAGCGAAGGCGTAGACACGAGGTACTCTGAAACGTTTATGTTCGTACACGACGTTATATAGAAAGAAAGAGAGAGAAAATATACATGAAGCCCCTCCATGTTTCCACGTACGATTCGCATAAGCGTATAAACCACTTCGCGCACGTCCACGTGTACTCACGATGGAGTAACGATATTTATTATATATCGGGTATGAGTTATGGGCAGTTAACTTCGCGTTCGTGACGGGCCCTCCTTCCCGCCCCCCTCCCTATCGTGTGTAGTATGTACCCAAGGACCCATGCACATCTTCTATGCACTTACGAATAGTGAAAAGAATACCTTTTCTTATACTTATGGTCCTATTTCTTCTAACTCATTTTCTAATAAAATACAGAAGCTTATTTCAAGAAAATTTTATTCTTTTTTTATTTGTTCCCTCAGAAATGATTTATTTTACTACCGATTATATCATTCAAATACAATTGAATGAGTTTCTACAGAAGAAAGGTGTATGTTGTATTTTAGAAAATTTTTAAGAAATAGTACAAGTGGTTCATTACTCATTGTAGCGATTAAACAAGTTGCTGGTGTAACATACGCCTTTATTATACTTGTCAAAAAATTATGAATAATTTTCATATTTATATAATTTCCTCTGTTGTAATGAATAAATAATTATGTCAGGCATTTACATGTAAATTATAGTGAAATGTAACACGTAAAAACCCTTCTTCTAAATACTCGTTAAATATTTCCTAAAAAGAAAAAAAAGAAAAAAATTAATTTAAAGTAAGAAATGAATTGATACGTAATGCTACGTTAAAAGTAATAATTGTACAGCCTTACGGAAGTTCAAACTAAAAACAAAAAGATAAACATATATTCCGTAATTAAAATAAGTAAACAAAATTAAACTCCGAGAGCTTTGTAGTTGATAAATGCAATATGCCAGCTTCCGTGATACGAAAGTTTTCTTGGGGCGTTTATATCTTCACGTTTCGTGAGAAACGTGAGAACGTTAAATGAACAAAATAGCTAGTTAACAGTACAACCGATGAATTTGCATACTCGAGGAAAAAGATCTTTATCCTGTGTCGCGTGCTTCGAACATCATCTTGTTTTTTTCTTCCTCTTCTCTTCTTCTTCTTCTTCGTTTTCTTCTTCCTCTCCTTCTTCTTAAGATTCTAATTATGTACTTCCTCTGAAAATTTTCCATATCAAACCGGTACATTTATTACATCGACTAGCGAGGAACAAATTCCGAAAGATTAGAGCTCCTAAAACTAATACTTCCTTAATATTATATTCATCTATATGTCACACCTTTATGCTAAATAACCGGTATAATCTAAATAACAACGTATATCGGTATAATATTCTAAAGGAAACAAGTTAATTAATTCGTGATAAACAGAAACGAGTTCTCGACCAATGCCAATTAAAAATACAATATCTTTGAGAATTCAGTAGAAATGGAGCGACTGAGCGAACGCGATCGTGCAACTTTAAACGTAATTTTTGATCCATTTCAAGTACATGGATCCATTGATATTTCAGAAAATGAAAATCTTGGTACGTAGTTTGTTTTTTTCTTCCTTAATCGAGGATTTTGAATTTTTTATTTATTTTTGTATAGATACGTTAAACCAAGATGAGGCGGATACTTTAACAGAGGAAGTTTTGAGTATCGTGAAAGAAGCTATTTCGTGCGCAGAGTTAAATAATTTTGACAAATCTTTCCGTTTATTCGAGGAAGCTTTAAAGAAAACACCTTCCTCTCCAACTATTTTAAACGATAGAGCTCAAGCATTTCGTTTGGCTGGTCGTGATAATGGTAACGTCAATTAATTTATTATGACAAAACGATATCATGTATACTTATTGATAAAAAAATAAAAAAAATACTAATTGTGAATAATACTAAACGTATGATATATATTCGAAATTTATCTTTTATGTAGAAGCATTGGAGGATTTGCACATGGCAGTAAAACTTAGCCAAGGAAAAGGAAAAGCAGGCATTCAGGCGCTTTGCCAACGTGGAATATTGTATCGTTACATGAATGAGGATCAAAAAGCTAAAGAAGATTTTATACTGGCAGCCAAAGCTGGCTCGAGCTTTGCCAAATCACAGCTTGTCTCTTTAAATCCTTATGCAGCTATGTGCAACGCTATGTTGCGAGAAATAACTTTGAAATCTATGCATCATTGAAGATTATTATCATCCTGGATTCTAGTAACGTTTCGAGTTGCATTTTTAGAAATGACGTATAATATAAAATTAAGAAATATATATATATATATACATTATATAATAAATTAAATTTAAGTGAAATATAAATTTTCTATTTTAAAAATAATCGATCATATTATCCGATATATAATTATTTCATTTGTATCCTTTATTTGAATATAGAGATTCGCGAATCATGTACATACCTACAATGATCCAGTTAAATATATCCACGTTTAATAATAATAATAATAATAATAATAATAATAATAATAATAATAATAATTGTAATTGTGTGAAATCTTCAATAAAAATATAAATTTGATCGTATTAAACATGCAATATACGCACCTTTCAAAATTCAATGTCAGTCCTACTAGAAAGAAAGAGAAAGAGAGAGAAATAGTGAGAAAAGAAGTCGCGAATATTTTCGACAAATGCTTACAAAAATATCAGAATCTCACGTACAAAAATTTCATTCCCCCAACTATTGTGTATTTACGAAATAGAAAGGTACAACAGTAAAGAAGAAAATTTATTGCATTCCTTTTTTTTCAATCCAATATTTTCAATAATCGATTAAGTACTTTTTTAAATAACGTAGTAAAATATCATCAATACATCTTCACTTTTTGTAACTTATAAAAAATAGTATTGAAATGAAACTTTATAAATTATCGCGATAAAGTGATATTATTATTATTATTATATATCTTTTTATATTCTGATATTACATATTTCATTTTAATCATCAACAATAAATTCTCTTCGTACAAAATGCAGACAAATTTTGTATTATTCGTCCAACTGCAATAATATCCTAAATGCATGAAATGCAGAGTTTCTGGTACAATTATATCCGTTTGATATATGTTTTCTTATAGATATATAAATAAATATCTATTAAGAAATAGATTGTACGTCAGAAGATATTTTCACTATTTTTTTCATGGTACTTTGACATTAATACCTATTTCCCCTTTTACCAAATGAATTATAGTAATCTGCTAATTTTGACAATTATGCAGTAAAATAATTTATATATGTAAAAGCATATTTCAATTTTAACGATTAATTATCAAATTAATTTTACTTGTTCAAATGAACATGGAGATAATTAATGTCACAATATATGTTTTATACCATCACAAAATCACGACCTGTATTTGATTTTTCACTTTCCGAACCTTCTTCGCTACCCTCAGAACCTTCTACTGATTCACTAGCAGAAACTTTCTTATTATCTTCGTTAGAAATTTCTTCAATTCTGCTTATCTCATCCTTTGGTGATTCTTCCATATTAGATCTATCTTCGCTGTTAACAAAAATATAAATCAAAATATTTCTAATAATTAAAAGTATAATATAGGATATTATTATTATTTTTGTTGTTATCCACTTACTTTGATGCACTAGGTGTTTCTTCTGTATCAGAATCTTTGTCTTTCTTCTTTTTCTTTTTACTACCTCTTTTATCACTTTCATTTGAAACACCATAATATTCATACTAAAAAATATTAACGTATTATATAATTATTGAGCAATATATTGAACAAAAAATACAATACATTTAAGTAAATGAGAATTTACCTGGTACAATGGCCAGAATGATGCGAAAAAGCCAACATCCGCTATTAAATTGGGTAGTAACCAAAAATGACACCTTCCCAGAGTGGGCACCCAAAGAAGACAGAATACAATCATTCTAATAATAGTTAATGCAAGGATGAATACAAGCAATCCAGCTGCTCCTACGCTCGAATAATATACTCCTTGACGAATGGTTACGGGCCATAAGGGGAATAAACAAAGTCCTATTGCTCCTAATACAACCAAGGTACCAAAAAACCAATAATACACTGGTATCGGTTCATAAATCCAAACATAAGCATCATTGCAATCTACGAAGTATTGTTCCATATGCATTTCGAGTCGTACCTGTAGCAATGAAAAAACAGGTTTATAAAAAAGATTATATTATATTTAACCTCTTATACTATGATTTAACACGCAGAGCTACATGCCAAAGTCAATGCTATATTTTGTGCTTCTTATGTTTGGCCCGTAAGATTGGCACACTATTATAGCACAAGGAGTTAAATTATATTTAAAAGTAATAACTCACTTTTGGTTTTTTCTTAGTCTCTTTACGTTCATCAGATTTATCTTCGCTGTTCCTGTTCGTAACATCTTTGTTATCCTTAGAATCTTCTTTTTCTTTTTCCTTTTCTTTTTCTTTCTCCTTATCTTTTTCCTTATCTTTTTCTTTCTCTTTATCCTTGTCTTTTTCGTTAGACTTTTTCTCTTCCTTTGGTTCTTTAACTTTTTTCTTAATACCACGGATTTTACAAAGCTCCTCTTCAGAAATGACTACTTTCTTAGCCCTGTGGAAAAACTTATGCCTCAACATCGTGTCGAGAAACTTGGTAACCTGTTCACGAGTCTCAAATCTGGTCTTGCTCCAGGGTGAGCTTTCCAGCAGCGCATCGACTGCACGCGTACCCGTAAAGTATTCCACATTATGATTTCTGTCAAATTTAGTCTTTTTGGAAGGTACATTGTTACGAATCCATTTGGCTACAGCATATTCTTCTTTTGATGGCTTATCCTGAATTATTTCGCTGTCTAAACTTGAGATTTCCTATTTAACAAAAGTTAACATATTCTTAATACAAACTGGTACGCTTAATAATTGTTCATACATTTGATGTGAACAATAAAATATTTGTCAAGATAAATTGTTGTATAATCTTTTTTTAAAAATAAATTAAAATTATATATTCACGTTGAAAGAGAAATACTCGTATTACAAATAAAGTAGTGAAAAAAAATCATATGACAAATTGACGAAATAAATTGAAACATATATTTATCTACGTCATCCGTTTTACACTTGAAAATTAAAAGGAAGACATCAATGGTGACACGTGTACCAAAGAAGACGTTTCGAAAAGAGGAGAGATGAAAAAATATATAAACGATAACGCTGATAATTCTAATCGAATAATAATCTATTACGACATTATAAACTTATCGTACTAAGAAATTCGCTAGGTGATGCTTACATCTTTGCGTTTTCGGCCTTTCCTGCGTTCCACCATGTTGTAAATCCAACTTTGCACTTGCGCATTTAAATTCCTTCCGTCAGAGACGCTTTAAGAAAAAGAAAGGAAGAAAATTGGAGGAAGTTCCTTCTATATACCTCAATTCAATATTTTCTTCTTTTTTTTTTTTATTTACATATCTAAATATTCGATCGAACTATTAACTAAATCGTTACTGACCTTGTAAGAAAATAAATAATTATCGTTATCAATTATCTATATTACCGAACACGAGAAAATGTTAATTAATTTTGTACAACGAATGAAATAAAACTACGATTAGGATGATTAGGGTGAATTTAGTAACTATACAGATGTTTATCAATTTTGATTAGGTTGACATTTTTAAATTCATTGAACAATGCTTCCCATGCCAAATTCTATACTTGTTCAATGTTACGTCAGATGATTTTCAATTCTTCTATTTATAACCTACAGATCTGTGGTTAGTTTTATGCATTAACAACGTAGAAGAGCTTGAACAAATTGTATATTCTCACCTTTAGATTATCAATAACTTTTTTGTTTTTAATAAATGTTACAACATAGAAAAATATTAATTAATTATCAATTGTGTCCAATTATTTGATTTCATTAAAAAGGATACAATTTGAATAAGAACTGTCCCAATTTAGTGAAAATACAGAATTCAACTAAATATAACCACAGAGTGTAATATCTTTCTTATATAAAATATATAATGTTGTTTTTAATTGAAATAATATAAATTATATTTGTAATATTAAATATTATTCATTGTGTGCGTGTTTGTGTTTGTTATAATAAAAAATGACTTCTCTTGTAACAACACCGCCAAGTGCAAAACGGTTTGTTTTTAAATTTTCTTTTCCTTTTAAATGTTGGTATTATATTTGAAATAAAAAGTTTTTTGAATCACATTTTCTTTCAACTTTTAGATTTTCTATGATAAGAGGTGCACGTCAAGGTAGCGTCATAGACTTGGATATAGATATGTTTCTTAAAATTACTAATTATGAAGATACCGTCAAACAGCTTGATATTTATTATGGAATTGGTAAGATAATATTAATATATTTAATATAGTTTCTTTTTCCAACAATTTAACGATTTTTTATATTGAATAGTCAAACGACAGTTACTTCGATATCAAAGTTGTATAACTGGCTTATTTCCACAAATCACAACTGATAAAGTTGTTGGAAGTATACGTGAAAGTATTTATTGTGCTGCTGCAATATGGAGTTTATATCAAGCCTATCGGTAAGCAATAATAAAACATATATTTATACTTAATTTATTTAATTAACTGTATAATAATTTATTCTATTTTGTCTTATTTAATTACACAGACGTATAGATGACGACCGTGGAAAGTCTTATGAACTAGGCCAGTCAGCGATAAAATGCATGAGAGGTATTTTAGAATGTTGGATGAAACAATCATCAAGGGTAGAATTATTCAAACGCAATCAATCAAATCGTTTTGCTCTCCATTGCAAGTTTCATTTAAACACCGGGGATGAAATTCTTCAAGATATAGAATATCATCATTTACAAGTAAATGTTTAATATTAATTTTATAAGAAAATATTTATATAAAATTCACAATTATTCTTTTTAATATATTCTTTGTTTCTTTTTATTAGATTGACGTCGTATCTTTATACTTATTATTTTTAGTACAAATGATTTCATCAGGATTACAAATAATATATACTCAAGACGAAGTAGCTTTCATACAAAATCTTGTATATTACGTAGAAAGAGCATATAGGACTCCAGATTTTGGAATGTGGGAACGTGGAAGTCGTTACAATGATGGAACTCCTGAAATACATGCTAGTTCGATTGGTATAGCAAAAAGTGCTTTAGAAGCTATTAATGGTTGTAATTTGTTTGGAGAAAAGGGTGCTTCCTGGTCTGTGATATATGTCGATATTGATGCACATAATCGTAACCGTAGTATCTTTGAAACAATGTTACCACGAGAATCAAGTTCGAAGGTAGATCGAGTACTGCAACAATTTAAAATATTTTCACATTATTCCTATCTTTCAATATTACATTTATATTTTTCCTTTATATTTTAGAGCGTAGATGCAGCTTTGTTGCCAACAATATCTTTCCCTGCTTTTGCTACTCACGAAGAAGTATTATATAATCAAACTAAATCAAATATAATTTGTAGACTCAAGGGTAATTATGGATTTAAAAGATTTGGCCGAGATGGATATAAAACAGTGTTAGAAGACACACAACGTCGTTATTACAAATCTGGTGAAATCAAGGCAAGTAAAATATACATGATATGTCGAATATATTAACATTTTAATACAAACTTATAGTACATGTAATAGAAAAGCATATTTTTTCAATAGGAATTTGATAATGTCGAATGCGAATGGCCACTATTTTATATTTTTATGATAATCGATGGTGTTTTTAAAACATTGCCTGAACAAGTAGAAGAATATCAAAATTTATTAAAAGCCAGAATATACAAAGATCTTCATGGAGGTATTTTAAAAAATATATGAATAAGTTTGAATAAGTGAAAAAAGAATCAACTGATAAGATATTTTATTCGCAAATAGATCCTGTAATACCAATGTACTATTATGTACCCAAAGAAAATTTGGAAAATGAAAGAAATGATCCTGGTAGCGTTTATCGGATACCTAGCGATGAAGGAAGAGGATATAAAAATTCAACGAATTCAGATGAATCACCGATGTATTTATGGAATCAAGCAATGTTTGTAATTTCTCAGTTGTTAACTGCTAGTTTATTACATATCAATGAATTAGATCCTATTCGTCGTTATTTACCTTCATATAATAGACCAAGAAGAGCTGGAAGATATTCTGCTTTTCAGGTAAGATAAATAACACATGTGTTCGAAGAATAGCAATAATAATTCATAATAAAACACTTAATTTTTCTTTCTATCAAAAGAGAATATATATACATATGTATATATTTATATATAAAAAAGAAATGTTAATATTATTTTCTTGTATTTCATACAGGCAAAGCCCACTATTGTAAGTAAATTATGTTGTATGCTTGCTATTACATCATGGTAGAAGTATTCTTAATTTTGCATTGTGTTCTCATATTATTTTCTATTTGCCATAATTAATTATCTTTTACGCTCAACGTGATTTATTAAAAATGACATATCTTCTTTTTTAATTCTATAGAATATGCATGTGTTTGCATAGAAAAAAATAACAGAAATTCGTATCGTAAATCTATAATTTACTACTCTGCTATCTCCTTCTCACTTTTAGAAAGCTATTGTAAATTAAGTTTTATATGTAGATCGTTTGAAAAACAAAACTTTATACTTTAATTATACTTTTTGCTGCTATTTATATATATGTATCACTTTTATATAATATATTTATACAAGTATATTGCACGATATATTTGCCAATATGAATGACTATTTCCTTTAGGGCACTCATGCTGATCTTGTAGTACAAATTGTTTTAATTGCTGAATCTATGAGGCTACAAGCTATGATGGCAACTTATGGTATTCAAACACAAACTCCGCATGAAGTTGAACCAGTACAAATATTATCTTCGACTCAATTGATTAAAGTCTATCAAAAACTTGGAGTTAATAAGAAATTGAATCTTCAAGGACGTCCAGCTAGACCCATTGGTTCTTTGGGTACAAGCAAGGTATATATGATATACGTTAAAGTTTAATATTTTTCTATAAATGATTCATATACAGGTGTATAGGGTGTGCGGTATGACGGTACTTTGCTATCCACTCATATTTGAAGTATCTGAATTTTATCTATACAGAGATATGGCTTTGTTAATTGATGATATTAAAACAGAACTTCAATTCGTTGGTAAATATTGGCGACTTTCTGGTCGTCCAACTGTATGCCTTCTAATAAGAGAAGAACATATGAGGTATTTATCAATTGCTTACACACAATTTTTACATAACAATAAAATATAATTAATAAATATATATATATCTTTTTTTATATTTAGAGATCCACAATTTAAAGAAATGTTAGACTTATTTGCGATGTTAAAGAAAGGATACTGCGATAGAACCAAAGTACGCATTGGACGATTGCAAAATTTAATTTCATCTTCTTGCATTGGTAATTAGTGAAATCTATTTTATATATTACATACAATTAACATGATGAAAATATTTATTTTTTCTTTATTTATAGAACATTTGGATTTTGTTAATTCTATGGAAACTGATCTCGAACTAACTCAATTCAAACAACTGCAACATGATTATATTGGTTATCAAAGTCTCACCGATGTTCCAAGAGCTTTAGCTTATTCTGAAGATATAAAAGATTATTCTGTATGTATATACAATAAAGATACTGATTTGATCATTATTTATCGAATTTATTTTATTTTTAGTATTTTATGCACGAGCCTTTGCATAATATATTAAATGAAATTCGTAATTGTGATGGATTGTATGTAAAGTGTCAGCTCTATGGTGTTTTATTAAAAAGAGAAGGTATCAATTATGAAATTAATGGAACAACAGGTATATATTTATATTTATACTGGTTTTGAACTCCACATTCAATTTTTTGCAAATCAAATCCATCCTTCTACAAGAGTAAAATTTGCAAATGGGTAAATTTGATTTGCGAAAAGGTTGAATTTGGATTGTAAAACCTGTATATTAAACAAATTGTGTAAATCTTCTATAGATTTAATTTAATTAAATTTTATAGTTGGTGATCATTTAAGAGCACTGTATCAGCAAGCAGGTTGTCTTAGATATTGGATGGCTGTTCGTTACTGTAGCAGTTTATTGCACCATACTGTTGATAGTATAAGTCCTTTTATTACTGGTGTACTTGTTAAAGGGAAACAGGTAATATCTGTGTATCAAGATTGCACAGGGTTGCGATGACGTAACTCCGTGTGTTCTGAAATTATTCATTTATTATTATTAATTATTCACACACCAATATATTTTTATTATTTATCAGATAACTGTTGGAGTTATTGGCCAGGAAGAAACTGTATTTGATAAACCTATGACCCCTGCAGAAATTCAATCTGTCATGTATTCTACTATTCAACCCCACAATATAATACAAGCTGTACTTCAGCAAGAAGTATTATTGTATTGTGGTAGACTTATTGGAACAAATCCAGAAATGTTTAAAGGAATATTAAAAATTCGTATTGGGTATTTATGTTATTCGATTTGTATAGTTTTAATTATTATGTTTATAATGTAATATAAATATAAAATTGATATATGTGATTAGATGGGTATTGGAAGCAATGAAGCTCTACTTAGAAATGTTTGTGAAAAATCCTGAGCCAATTGAAAACTACAGTCCCTATAAAGTTAGACAAGTTTTGATCAAAGTATTGACTGTTAAGGATTGGGCCAATTCAGAAAAGTATACTAATTAGATTTTATAATAAAATCTATTTATAAAATTTTGTAATTGTAATATATTTTTCTTTAATAGACTTACTGTGCTTGGACGAAGAAGAATAGAAGGAAGTTTATGTAGAGTTCCTACACATTTTTACAATCAAGTATGGCAAGTTTTAATGCGTTGTCCTGAAGGTATATGTGTTAATGGGCGTGAATTACCGCAGCAACCAACACTTTCTAATATGACACAATCAGAGTTAACTTTTGCTTTGCTCGTTGAATCTCTACTTCATCACATACACTTACCAGAATATCGTCAAATTATAGTTGAGGTAATATTTGAACAAAATTTATCCAATTCCTTCTTTTCAATATTCTTTGTTAAGAAGGATAAAATATTAATATTAATTAAAATTTATTTGTTTTTACAGTTACTTAACATAGTATCAACAATTTTATTAAGAAATCCCGAGCTTAGTTTCCAAAAACAATTAAATCTAAATAAACTTGTCGAGGATAGTTTTGCCATGTATTGCAAGGTATGTACAAGTTATTAGTTTTATTAAAAATTTCTATACACATTATTACTCATCGTAAGATAAATTTAAAATTATCATATAAGAATATGTAATATATGTTGGATTGATATATACTTATATTCAGGATCAAAATTTGGAGGTATCGGATGACCTTACACCATTCTTTTCTATACATTATTCGTTGACTACCGGTTATCTAGCTAGAGCAGTTGTAAACAACGTTCTTGCAATTGGTTGTGTAACTACCATCACGGATGCCAAAGATAATTTTGAATCTCATGAAATGTGCAAAATAGCGTAATTATACATATATATCTCTTAATCAATGCTCTAATGAAATACACTTTAATTGATTTACAAGAACAATATTTATGATATTAAATTTGAGTTGAGAAATGTACATATATGTATATTTGTACATTGTAAAAAAAATTATTTAATTGTATGTATGTGTATAATCAATCCTGGTAAAAATTTATTAAATGATATCTTATTTTCTATACAAAATAAGTAAAAAAAAAAGATCTTAAAATTTATTATATTGTATATACGCGTATTCCTATAATTCTAACTGTACAAATGTAGTCAATACGTTTTTTACCGCATCCCGGAGAAGAGATTCCGATCACAGGCCAAAATTGATTTTTTGCGTTTATTTGTGACGGTAGTCACAAATATTTGATACTGGAATCCCAATAGAAATTGGTATGTCACAGATACCCTACACGAGTAGTAATGAATGTTATACTTACTAACCAATTCATCGTTTAGCAAAATTTGTATCCATTGCTCGACCAGAGCGTTGTATGTTGTTTATATTAGATTTAATTCTCGATGCAACCGTACTAACTTCAGCTGCTGCAACTAATTGCTTCCTGTGTTTAAAAAAAATATATATTTATAATATTAATGATACGATAGAACGTATAATTTTTAAAAAAAGAAAGAAAATAAATAAATATTGTACCTAATAAAATCTTTGTTATATATTTTTTCGTTAGATAATTCTTTCTTTTCTTGTTCATGATACTGCTTTACATTACGTTCTCGTTCTTTATTTCGCCATGTTGCATTTTCCATCATTTCCAGCCTACGTTTTTCCTTTTCCTCTTCCGAAAGTTTTTTCTTTGGAACCCATTTCTGTTCAATTCTTCTACCTTCATTAAACCTTTTTTGAGATAAATTAAAGGAAGAGTGATAGGATTTTCTTTTATGATTTTCCTGTAATAAAAAGAAATATTGTAAGTATATATATATATATATATAGATGATTTTTGTTTGTTAGAAATAATTGGAAAAAATATTAAACTAGTATTAGAAATGACATACGTCATAGGATTTTTCTATAGATGATCTTTCTTTGTATCTCTTATTGTTTTCATTGTCTCTATAATTATTATCATCTCTATGCACTGTATTCCTTTTATATGGATGGTCTCTTTCTCTTTTTGACATTCTATCTGATTTCATAATATGAGTATTGCTACTTTTAGTAAGTAATTTTTGAGTATCTTCTTCGTCACTTTTGCTTGATTTTTTGTGCTTTTCTTTTTTTTCATTATCTTTCTTCTTATTTTTTTTTCTGTGTGTTGTACCACTATCATTACTACTACTTCTCTTTTTGTGATTTCGTTTTCTTTTCTTACGTTTAACTAATTCATTGGTACTACTGCTGCTACTACTACTATCATTGTCGCCACTGTTACTTTCTCTGTCACTATCAGTATCATTGTCAGAATTACTACTAACTTTTTTAGATTTCTTCTTCTTCTTGTGCTTAATTTTTTTCATTGACTTTATCAAATCTTTCTCACTAATCTTATCTTTCAACTTTTTGTACTTTGCTGCTAACAAATTATCTAATTCGGTTTCGTCGTCGCTGTTATCCGTGCTGTTGGATGATTTTTTCTTTTTGCTTTTTTTCTTCGTCTCCTTTTTCTTTGCCTGTTGTTCCAACTATAAAATATTAAATTATAGTAATCACGAAATCAACAATTCAATATTTACGAATATTCTTACTTACCAATTCTTTAAGTTTCTTTAACTTGACCGGATTCTTCAATAACTGACTTCGTGTTTCAGTTTCCTTCTTTTTTATTGCATATAATGGATCTTCTTGCATCTTTCTTGCTAGATCGACTTGCTCGTTTCCGGAGAAAAATCGTAAAGAAGGTGGAATACATTCTAAAAAATAATAAATTAATATTATCTAATAAAATATGAAAAAAAAACCTAGCAGGAAACCTTGATTGATGCCAATATACCTAATAATACCAACCATATTCAACATGATTCTTTGATGCTCGATTTAAATCCGCATCTTTCTGGGCTTGTGCTACTTGCTCAAATGATTTGTCAATCGGACGACCTAGTAAATAATCTTCTCTATTTACCATATCGTTCGGACCCTTGTACATCCAATCTAATTTCTTATCATCTTTCTTTTCTATAACGCCTTGCTCCATAGCATATTTTGTCATATCTTCTCGGTCTCTTTCCATAGCTATTTCTCTCTTCAATTCTGCAATTCTTTTCTTCTCTTGATTCTTTTCTTGTTCCGCTTTCCATACTTTTTCCATATTCTTCATGGTAGATGGATGCCATGATTTCTTCAAATTCTAGATTAATTTGCATGAATTAGTGATTATAAGTTTTATGTAAAACATTATAGGGAATTATAATAATTATAATAAAATCTAAAATTTATTATTTATATTTAAACGTGCAACGATATATATTGATCTAATTTTTAAGGAAATAAATAAAATATACATACCAGATCCCCGCCACCCATTTTTCTAATTTATGTGTACATTTAAATTATTAAAATTTATTATAAATTACTATATATATATATATATATAAACACAAATATGAAACAAACGTTTTATTAACCACAATTAAATATTAGAAACTACTATAGTTTATAAATTATTATGGTCATATAAACTGTTATGCTCATAGGTTATGAAATAAATGAAGTGAATACTAGTGACACCACTTCTCATAACGATATTTCTGCGCACTAAAAAATGGTTATGATATTACCGACTGAAGATAATACAGAAATACATAAAAGTTTATAAGGCTCTTTTTTTATCTACTCAGTTTCATTTTTGTTATAACCGAGACCACCACAGTGATAGTATGTACTTAACGTGATGATGGTACAAACTATCAAAGAACAGTGCAATACTATCAAAGAATACAGAATTTGTAGCAGCCCGCTAGTGACAAATAAATCCCTACTACAATCAGCGCTGCCACTTTAACCGCCAGACAACTCTAGCACCGCCACTCAACCGTGGTTAATAATTTTATTATTCGAGAGACAAAAGGCACATTGTTACTTCCGCTTAACCAGTTGAACGATTTACACGCGCGATTAACGACTACATTGTTATCTACTCGGAACTGTAATAGTTTATGATTCTTAAAAATAATGTTACATAAAATACTAGTGTAGTATAATAATTTGAATAAATCCTAATTCTAGTCCATAATTATCCGCTACAAATTTCTACCTACTATCGCCCACTGGTGGACTTGATAGTAACAAAAATGAAACAGAGTTCATACAAAAGGGGACTTGTGAGCTTCTATGTACTTCTGTATTCTTTGACAATATACAATGAAAATGCGTCATATTATGCAGTTTTAATAAATATATTAAAATCCATGTTTGAAAATATACGAATTAATTCTATAAATTAAAAAAAAGAATACACCCTTAACTTGTGTTAAAATATTATCAGATTGTTTGAATATTAAAAACAAGTTAAAAATCAATTAAAAAGTAAGACCATAAACTATACAGATCAGTTATAAGGGAAGAAATATTGTAAATGAGACTTGTATGCTTGTTATTATAACGCTGATGACTTTTATTTCATAGTTTGAGCAATTTGCCACAGTTACTACCATTTTCTTGAAGTTCTAATTTGCATTTTAGGTTTATATCTAGTGATGATAATTCGAGGATCTTTAAATATGTCAGATAGAAAAGTGCAAGATTAAACACGAAAAAGTTTGTTCGTGTAATGAGCAGTACATGCGAAAATTCGTGTCCGTGGAAGGACTACCTAGAAGATACAATTAATAAATTAACTTCTTATTTAACGAATTTTCTTCCATCGAATTTTGGCCTAACCTTCGATTCGACCAACACTGTTATCTTTGGCAATGAATCATTTTTAAGGTTTTCCGAATTTTTTCAAGAATTGATATCGTTGTTATCTTTTGACGAATTTCAACTGCAATTGCTTAAGATCTTTTTATTTATACTTACAAGTACAATCGCTTTAATTTGTATTGCTTGGCACGTATATGGTTTGAGAATATCTGAACAATTTATGAATCCAAGTGAGTATGATTTCATCATTTTATGTAAGTTATTTTTTCCTTTATTGAACTTATAGTTGAAAAAGCCATTTTTTTCTCACCTTTGTTCAATTAAAAATAAACAATAGGAAGTATATATTATTTAAAAATGATTTCTTTTTTAGGTGGCCTACCCGGATATTACGGGAAGTCCTCAGAGTAGTCGTTAAATATTATTATTTCTAAGTTTTATTATTGAAATTATAAAACGATTATTACATATTTTCAATTACATCATAATTCGGCTTTATATTTCTAAAGATTCAAGATGGTAGATAAAATAAAGGATTTCTTTCAAAAGAAAAAAACCAATGCTAAGTTTATTAACGCTGGAAAAGGATATAAGTATGTTTAAAACAATACAAAAATTATTCTTATTTAAATCAGTCTATATATAAATATTTTAATATATATATTTATAAATATTCTATAGATTGAATGAAACTAGTAGACCCGAAACATCGAGGAGAATTCAATCAGAAATACCAATAAAAAGAGCAGAACCTACGGACGAAGCAAAAGTTGCTGGACAAGCTGCATTAGCACGATTACAAACGAAACAAACTGATACGCGCAGATTTAACACGTATGTTATTTAATATTTTAAATTTAACATAAGTTTAAATACATTAATCCGTTTAATTTTATTTATAATAGGTCCTATGCAGCGATACAGGCACGCGTTAAAAAAGAACTGGAATTGGAAAGAAAAGCACGACAGGAACAGGAAAAAGTAGCTTCCGCTAAATCAGCTGAAAAAGCTAAGGAAAAAGATAGAGAAATTTTAGCTGTCACCGATGTATACTTCCGATGCGCGTATATCTCTGATGAAGTTTTAACGCAAGAGGAATGGAAAAGAAAGATCCGAGAATTTCTATACGAACAATTAAAAGAAGAAGAAGCTGGTTTAACTTCTTGCTTAATCATTTATAATTGCAATTCAGGAAAAACTAAAATTCAGCAATGTATAGAGACTTTAGAAAAGTATATAGAAAATATTTTAAAAAATCCGGGAATAGAAAAATATCAAAAGATCCGAATGTGTAATAAAATATTTCAGGTAACTGAAATTATTATTGTGATATGAATTCTATATAAATAATGTTAAACACAATGTTTTTTTTCTAAAGGAAAAAGTGGTACCATTGGAAGGAGCGTTAGAATTCTTGCAAGCTGCTGGTTTTGAAAAAAAGAAATTATTACATAATGACGTAGAGGAAGACTTTTTAGTATGGAATCCTGATGCGTCTACTATCGATGATTTAACTATACTAGTAGAAGCACTAAATTCTGCTGAAGTTATTCCACTTGAAGTAGATAGAAATTTGCAAGTTCTCTTGCCTACTCAAGCGAATGAAATGTATGAACTATCTGATAATTTCTTTACTATAACTTTAGAAGAGTTGAGAAGAGAGCAAAAACTTCGGTGAGAAAACGAAATTTCATTTTACTAAGTAATTCAAATAATGCAACAGTGAAAATATTGATGATGTATAAATATTCGAACTATCATAATTTATTTTTTTTGCCAGAACCGAAGCCATCGAAAAAAATCAAATGTTAAGGACTAAAGCTATGCGAGAAAAAGATGAAGAACGAGAACTAAAAAGATATAGATTTACATTAATTCGAATAAGATTTCCGGATAACATAATATTACAGGGAACATTTTCGGTGCACGAAAAATGTAGAGAAGTAGTGGATTTCGTTAAAGAAAATTTGATCAATACCGATATTCCATTTTTCTTGATTTTACCAGTAGGTCAAAAACTTCAAGAAGAAGATTATGATAAAACATTATTAGAGTTAAGATTAATGCCGGCGTGTTTATTAAAATTTTCATACGAAAGCTATAAAGGAGATTTGGATATATCCGTAGGATATTTAAAAGAAACCGTGCTTTGCTTAATACGAAATACATAAAATTGTGGTAAATGATAGGTGTATCGCTGACGTTTGTGTATAAAATAATTTTTTACAAGAGGTCTTTTGGTATACGTTTTACATTAAATCGTGTTTCTTTTCTTTTTTTGTATAATTCCAAAATAAAATATTTTTTTACGGGTATTTCTCATACTTCAGCTTTGATGCACGAATGATTTCCATAAGAAATGGATATACATTTTGAATCATTGAAAATCTGAGCATTGTTAAGTTTCAGAATTCTACTTGTTAAATATCTATGATCTACCTAAATCAAGTTCAAATCATACATAATACTAGAATATATCTTTACAATAATTACCCTTATTTTGTGCCTGAGACTTAACGAAATATTTAAAATCTTACACGTTAGTATACATACACTGATTGAAAATACATATATACGCATTTTTATTTTTATTTTTTTTTTTTATTTAACAATCTAATCAATAAATAATATATATAATATATATATATATATTTATAAATATATATATATATATTATATATATTATTTATTGATTAGATTGTTAAATAAAAAAAAAAAATAAAAATAAAAATGCGTATATATGTATTTTCAATCAGTGTATGTATACTAACGTGTAAGATTTTAAATATTTCGTTAAGTCTCAGGCACAAAATAAGGGTAATTATTGTAAAGATATATTCTAGTATTATGTATGATTTGAACTTGATTTAGGTAGATCATAGATATTTAACAAGTAGAATTCTGAAACTTAACAATGCTCAGATTTTCAATGATTCAAAATGTATATCCATTTCTTATGGAAATCATTCGTGCATCAAAGCTGAAGTATGAGAAATACCCGTAAAAAAATATTTTATTTTGGAATTATACAAAAAAAGAAAAGAAACACGATTTAATGTAAAACGTATACCAAAAGACCTCTTGTAAAAAATTATTTTATACACAAACGTCAGCGATACACCTATCATTTACCACAATTTTATGTATTTCGTATTAAGCAAAGCACGGTTTCTTTTAAATATCCTACGGATATATCCAAATCTCCTTTATAGCTTTCGTATGAAAATTTTAATAAACACGCCGGCATTAATCTTAACTCTAATAATGTTTTATCATAATCTTCTTCTTGAAGTTTTTGACCTACTGGTAAAATCAAGAAAAATGGAATATCGGTATTGATCAAATTTTCTTTAACGAAATCCACTACTTCTCTACATTTTTCGTGCACCGAAAATGTTCCCTGTAATATTATGTTATCCGGAAATCTTATTCGAATTAATGTAAATCTATATCTTTTTAGTTCTCGTTCTTCATCTTTTTCTCGCATAGCTTTAGTCCTTAACATTTGATTTTTTTCGATGGCTTCGGTTCTGGCAAAAAAAATAAATTATGATAGTTCGAATATTTATACATCATCAATATTTTCACTGTTGCATTATTTGAATTACTTAGTAAAATGAAATTTCGTTTTCTCACCGAAGTTTTTGCTCTCTTCTCAACTCTTCTAAAGTTATAGTAAAGAAATTATCAGATAGTTCATACATTTCATTCGCTTGAGTAGGCAAGAGAACTTGCAAATTTCTATCTACTTCAAGTGGAATAACTTCAGCAGAATTTAGTGCTTCTACTAGTATAGTTAAATCATCGATAGTAGACGCATCAGGATTCCATACTAAAAAGTCTTCCTCTACGTCATTATGTAATAATTTCTTTTTTTCAAAACCAGCAGCTTGCAAGAATTCTAACGCTCCTTCCAATGGTACCACTTTTTCCTTTAGAAAAAAAACATTGTGTTTAACATTATTTATATAGAATTCATATCACAATAATAATTTCAGTTACCTGAAATATTTTATTACACATTCGGATCTTTTGATATTTTTCTATTCCCGGATTTTTTAAAATATTTTCTATATACTTTTCTAAAGTCTCTATACATTGCTGAATTTTAGTTTTTCCTGAATTGCAATTATAAATGATTAAGCAAGAAGTTAAACCAGCTTCTTCTTCTTTTAATTGTTCGTATAGAAATTCTCGGATCTTTCTTTTCCATTCCTCTTGCGTTAAAACTTCATCAGAGATATACGCGCATCGGAAGTATACATCGGTGACAGCTAAAATTTCTCTATCTTTTTCCTTAGCTTTTTCAGCTGATTTAGCGGAAGCTACTTTTTCCTGTTCCTGTCGTGCTTTTCTTTCCAATTCCAGTTCTTTTTTAACGCGTGCCTGTATCGCTGCATAGGACCTATTATAAATAAAATTAAACGGATTAATGTATTTAAACTTATGTTAAATTTAAAATATTAAATAACATACGTGTTAAATCTGCGCGTATCAGTTTGTTTCGTTTGTAATCGTGCTAATGCAGCTTGTCCAGCAACTTTTGCTTCGTCCGTAGGTTCTGCTCTTTTTATTGGTATTTCTGATTGAATTCTCCTCGATGTTTCGGGTCTACTAGTTTCATTCAATCTATAGAATATTTATAAATATATATATTAAAATATTTATATATAGACTGATTTAAATAAGAATAATTTTTGTATTGTTTTAAACATACTTATATCCTTTTCCAGCGTTAATAAACTTAGCATTGGTTTTTTTCTTTTGAAAGAAATCCTTTATTTTATCTACCATCTTGAATCTTTAGAAATATAAAGCCGAATTATGATGTAATTGAAAATATGTAATAATCGTTTTATAATTTCAATAATAAAACTTAGAAATAATAATATTTAACGACTACTCTGAGGACTTCCCGTAATATCCGGGTAGGCCACCTAAAAAAGAAATCATTTTTAAATAATATATACTTCCTATTGTTTATTTTTAATTGAACAAAGGTGAGAAAAAAATGGCTTTTTCAACTATAAGTTCAATAAAGGAAAAAATAACTTACATAAAATGATGAAATCATACTCACTTGGATTCATAAATTGTTCAGATATTCTCAAACCATATACGTGCCAAGCAATACAAATTAAAGCGATTGTACTTGTAAGTATAAATAAAAAGATCTTAAGCAATTGCAGTTGAAATTCGTCAAAAGATAACAACGATATCAATTCTTGAAAAAATTCGGAAAACCTTAAAAATGATTCATTGCCAAAGATAACAGTGTTGGTCGAATCGAAGGTTAGGCCAAAATTCGATGGAAGAAAATTCGTTAAATAAGAAGTTAATTTATTAATTGTATCTTCTAGGTAGTCCTTCCACGGACACGAATTTTCGCATGTACTGCTCATTACACGAACAAACTTTTTCGTGTTTAATCTTGCACTTTTCTATCTGACATATTTAAAGATCCTCGAATTATCATCACTAGATATAAACCTAAAATGCAAATTAGAACTTCAAGAAAATGGTAGTAACTGTGGCAAATTGCTCAAACTATGAAATAAAAGTCATCAGCGTTATAATAACAAGCATACAAGTCTCATTTACAATATTTCTTCCCTTATAACTGATCTGTATAGTTTATGGTCTTACTTTTTAATTGATTTTTAACTTGTTTTTAATATTCAAACAATCTGATAATATTTTAACACAAGTTAAGGGTGTATTCTTTTTTTTAATTTATAGAATTAATTCGTATATTTTCAAACATGGATTTTAATATATTTATTAAAACTGCATAATATGACGCATTTTCATTGTATATTGTCAAAGAATACAGAAGTACATAGAAGCTCACAAGTCCCCTTTTGTATGAACTCTGTTTCATTTTTGTTACTATCAAGTCCACCAGTGGGCGATAGTAGGTAGAAATTTGTAGCGGATAATTATGGACTAGAATTAGGATTTATTCAAATTATTATACTACACTAGTATTTTATGTAACATTATTTTTAAGAATCATAAACTATTACAGTTCCGAGTAGATAACAATGTAGTCGTTAATCGCGCGTGTAAATCGTTCAACTGGTTAAGCGGAAGTAACAATGTGCCTTTTGTCTCTCGAATAATAAAATTATTAACCACGGTTGAGTGGCGGTGCTAGAGTTGTCTGGCGGTTAAAGTGGCAGCGCTGATTGTAGTAGGGATTTATTTGTCACTAGCGGGCTGCTACAAATTCTGTATTCTTTGATAGTATTGCACTGTTCTTTGATAGTTTGTACCATCATCACGTTAAGTACATACTATCACTGTGGTGGTCTCGGTTATAACAAAAATGAAACTGAGTAGATAAAAAAAGAGCCTTATAAACTTTTATGTATTTCTGTATTATCTTCAGTCGGTAATATCATAACCATTTTTTAGTGCGCAGAAATATCGTTATGAGAAGTGGTGTCACTAGTATTCACTTCATTTATTTCATAACCTATGAGCATAACAGTTTATATGACCATAATAATTTATAAACTATAGTAGTTTCTAATATTTAATTGTGGTTAATAAAACGTTTGTTTCATATTTGTGTTTATATATATATATATATATAGTAATTTATAATAAATTTTAATAATTTAAATGTACACATAAATTAGAAAAATGGGTGGCGGGGATCTGGTATGTATATTTTATTTATTTCCTTAAAAATTAGATCAATATATATCGTTGCACGTTTAAATATAAATAATAAATTTTAGATTTTATTATAATTATTATAATTCCCTATAATGTTTTACATAAAACTTATAATCACTAATTCATGCAAATTAATCTAGAATTTGAAGAAATCATGGCATCCATCTACCATGAAGAATATGGAAAAAGTATGGAAAGCGGAACAAGAAAAGAATCAAGAGAAGAAAAGAATTGCAGAATTGAAGAGAGAAATAGCTATGGAAAGAGACCGAGAAGATATGACAAAATATGCTATGGAGCAAGGCGTTATAGAAAAGAAAGATGATAAGAAATTAGATTGGATGTACAAGGGTCCGAACGATATGGTAAATAGAGAAGATTATTTACTAGGTCGTCCGATTGACAAATCATTTGAGCAAGTAGCACAAGCCCAGAAAGATGCGGATTTAAATCGAGCATCAAAGAATCATGTTGAATATGGTTGGTATTATTAGGTATATTGGCATCAATCAAGGTTTCCTGCTAGGTTTTTTTTTCATATTTTATTAGATAATATTAATTTATTATTTTTTAGAATGTATTCCACCTTCTTTACGATTTTTCTCCGGAAACGAGCAAGTCGATCTAGCAAGAAAGATGCAAGAAGATCCATTATATGCAATAAAAAAGAAGGAAACTGAAACACGAAGTCAGTTATTGAAGAATCCGGTCAAGTTAAAGAAACTTAAAGAATTGGTAAGTAAGAATATTCGTAAATATTGAATTGTTGATTTCGTGATTACTATAATTTAATATTTTATAGTTGGAACAACAGGCAAAGAAAAAGGAGACGAAGAAAAAAAGCAAAAAGAAAAAATCATCCAACAGCACGGATAACAGCGACGACGAAACCGAATTAGATAATTTGTTAGCAGCAAAGTACAAAAAGTTGAAAGATAAGATTAGTGAGAAAGATTTGATAAAGTCAATGAAAAAAATTAAGCACAAGAAGAAGAAGAAATCTAAAAAAGTTAGTAGTAATTCTGACAATGATACTGATAGTGACAGAGAAAGTAACAGTGGCGACAATGATAGTAGTAGTAGCAGCAGTAGTACCAATGAATTAGTTAAACGTAAGAAAAGAAAACGAAATCACAAAAAGAGAAGTAGTAGTAATGATAGTGGTACAACACACAGAAAAAAAAATAAGAAGAAAGATAATGAAAAAAAAGAAAAGCACAAAAAATCAAGCAAAAGTGACGAAGAAGATACTCAAAAATTACTTACTAAAAGTAGCAATACTCATATTATGAAATCAGATAGAATGTCAAAAAGAGAAAGAGACCATCCATATAAAAGGAATACAGTGCATAGAGATGATAATAATTATAGAGACAATGAAAACAATAAGAGATACAAAGAAAGATCATCTATAGAAAAATCCTATGACGTATGTCATTTCTAATACTAGTTTAATATTTTTTCCAATTATTTCTAACAAACAAAAATCATCTATATATATATATATATATACTTACAATATTTCTTTTTATTACAGGAAAATCATAAAAGAAAATCCTATCACTCTTCCTTTAATTTATCTCAAAAAAGGTTTAATGAAGGTAGAAGAATTGAACAGAAATGGGTTCCAAAGAAAAAACTTTCGGAAGAGGAAAAGGAAAAACGTAGGCTGGAAATGATGGAAAATGCAACATGGCGAAATAAAGAACGAGAACGTAATGTAAAGCAGTATCATGAACAAGAAAAGAAAGAATTATCTAACGAAAAAATATATAACAAAGATTTTATTAGGTACAATATTTATTTATTTTCTTTCTTTTTTTAAAAATTATACGTTCTATCGTATCATTAATATTATAAATATATATTTTTTTTAAACACAGGAAGCAATTAGTTGCAGCAGCTGAAGTTAGTACGGTTGCATCGAGAATTAAATCTAATATAAACAACATACAACGCTCTGGTCGAGCAATGGATACAAATTTTGCTAAACGATGAATTGGTTAGTAAGTATAACATTCATTACTACTCGTGTAGGGTATCTGTGACATACCAATTTCTATTGGGATTCCAGTATCAAATATTTGTGACTACCGTCACAAATAAACGCAAAAAATCAATTTTGGCCTGTGATCGGAATCTCTTCTCCGGGATGCGGTAAAAAACGTATTGACTACATTTGTACAGTTAGAATTATAGGAATACGCGTATATACAATATAATAAATTTTAAGATCTTTTTTTTTTACTTATTTTGTATAGAAAATAAGATATCATTTAATAAATTTTTACCAGGATTGATTATACACATACATACAATTAAATAATTTTTTTTACAATGTACAAATATACATATATGTACATTTCTCAACTCAAATTTAATATCATAAATATTGTTCTTGTAAATCAATTAAAGTGTATTTCATTAGAGCATTGATTAAGAGATATATATGTATAATTACGCTATTTTGCACATTTCATGAGATTCAAAATTATCTTTGGCATCCGTGATGGTAGTTACACAACCAATTGCAAGAACGTTGTTTACAACTGCTCTAGCTAGATAACCGGTAGTCAACGAATAATGTATAGAAAAGAATGGTGTAAGGTCATCCGATACCTCCAAATTTTGATCCTGAATATAAGTATATATCAATCCAACATATATTACATATTCTTATATGATAATTTTAAATTTATCTTACGATGAGTAATAATGTGTATAGAAATTTTTAATAAAACTAATAACTTGTACATACCTTGCAATACATGGCAAAACTATCCTCGACAAGTTTATTTAGATTTAATTGTTTTTGGAAACTAAGCTCGGGATTTCTTAATAAAATTGTTGATACTATGTTAAGTAACTGTAAAAACAAATAAATTTTAATTAATATTAATATTTTATCCTTCTTAACAAAGAATATTGAAAAGAAGGAATTGGATAAATTTTGTTCAAATATTACCTCAACTATAATTTGACGATATTCTGGTAAGTGTATGTGATGAAGTAGAGATTCAACGAGCAAAGCAAAAGTTAACTCTGATTGTGTCATATTAGAAAGTGTTGGTTGCTGCGGTAATTCACGCCCATTAACACATATACCTTCAGGACAACGCATTAAAACTTGCCATACTTGATTGTAAAAATGTGTAGGAACTCTACATAAACTTCCTTCTATTCTTCTTCGTCCAAGCACAGTAAGTCTATTAAAGAAAAATATATTACAATTACAAAATTTTATAAATAGATTTTATTATAAAATCTAATTAGTATACTTTTCTGAATTGGCCCAATCCTTAACAGTCAATACTTTGATCAAAACTTGTCTAACTTTATAGGGACTGTAGTTTTCAATTGGCTCAGGATTTTTCACAAACATTTCTAAGTAGAGCTTCATTGCTTCCAATACCCATCTAATCACATATATCAATTTTATATTTATATTACATTATAAACATAATAATTAAAACTATACAAATCGAATAACATAAATACCCAATACGAATTTTTAATATTCCTTTAAACATTTCTGGATTTGTTCCAATAAGTCTACCACAATACAATAATACTTCTTGCTGAAGTACAGCTTGTATTATATTGTGGGGTTGAATAGTAGAATACATGACAGATTGAATTTCTGCAGGGGTCATAGGTTTATCAAATACAGTTTCTTCCTGGCCAATAACTCCAACAGTTATCTGATAAATAATAAAAATATATTGGTGTGTGAATAATTAATAATAATAAATGAATAATTTCAGAACACACGGAGTTACGTCATCGCAACCCTGTGCAATCTTGATACACAGATATTACCTGTTTCCCTTTAACAAGTACACCAGTAATAAAAGGACTTATACTATCAACAGTATGGTGCAATAAACTGCTACAGTAACGAACA